GTACTTCTACGACTGCTTTTGGTGCTATCGGACGCGGTCCATGCCGATATTGAAGAACTGGAGAATCATCTCCGAATAATCCAAGTAGTATTCCTACAGCCGCTCTCTCAATATTTCTTATAATGATTGCAGCTTCCCCGAAGATCAAAAACATTGAAATCAATCCCAAGTGTCTTCCCTTGGATGAAATTATCGCACAGAATTTTCCAAAAAATACAGCCAGGCATTGGAGACATTTTCCAAAAATTCCAGAATCTCTCTCAAAAATCACCGCAAACACAATCCACCGTTCCTCAATCCATCAAGCTACAAAGAGTTCTCCGTTTCTCTCGCACACCATTCCACAAACCTAGCTGAAATCCCAGATTCTCCCAAAATCGAAGATTCGAATCCTTCAGGAAGACTACCAAATCTTCCCGAAGTAAACATATAAGCTCCACTATTCTCAGATATCAAGTCGAGAGAAGGTGCGCCCATAACTCAGGGTATGCCCTGCAAATCAATGGGTACACTATAAATTTATCCTATGACCTTAGATATGGCCATGCGCATAATCACTTACGTCCAGATGGGGTAGAGTGTAAAAACGATCATGATGCTTTATCAGACATGCAATGTGATGATGGAAGTTGGGAGACTGGTTAGATGTAGAAGTATAAATTTGATGGGGTGAAAATTGGGAATATGCAGTGACTAGGTACTGCGATGGCAGTTACAACATTATCATTAAAAAGATATCGTCAAGTTCAATACTAAAGCACCAGGATATCATTAAGAACACTTGAACCTAAATAAAGCTGCATAGAATATAAAGAGGCAATTTGCAATTGAGTTGTGAAATGATAATATATGTCTGCCGTCGTAGAAGAGACGGCGTGAAGTAACTTGCTTGCAGACTCTAGTATGCACGAATTGGAGGATATGAGAACACAATGAAGAAGTGTGAATATCGGAACTACCAGTAAACCAACAAAAGTACCGGTAGATAGATAAACAATGTGATGATTGCACTATCAAATATAAACAGAGTAAACACAAATCATCGCAAACGAATAACGAAAACGAATCACGTGATGTAAAGACATTAACCAATTCATCAACGATTTTTCAGACACCATCTAAAAAAGGCCGGGAATAAAATCTGGGAATGCTTCTTATTCCCAGCTTCTTAAACATGCCATCAATTTCAACGATTTGAGGTTGGTGTCTTGAAAATGGATGGAATATTAGGGACAAAAAATTAGATGTGCAACAAAACTTTCTTGAGGTAGTAAGCACGTGGTTTCTGACTAAGACGGTAAGGTAAGTTGGTGGGGTGACATCATAGATGTAGAAATGTGATTTGTGTTGAAATCTTACTTATGGATGGCGAATGGTGAATGAAGAGAAATAGATAGAGAGAAGCTCTATATGGCAGAGTCATATTCAGTATCCTCAAATTAATAATTTTAATACTTTCTAATATCACGATTGATTGATCTAGGCATCTATGATAGTCACGTGCCGTTATATAATTTGAAATTGCAATAGAATACCTTATACCTACCGCTATCTCCATCTTCCACTGGAGGCTTTATCGTATTAATTAACTTGCTCAATGCAAACCCAAAAGCAAAAGCAAAAACAAAAGCTTAAGTTTAAACTCATTACAACCCCATAAACGTGTGATCGACATCCATCTCGCTCTTGATCCCGGGGTACGAAAGTCAATCATGATGTCAGTGCGTTCATTGTGATTGTAATCTTACAATGTGATTGTGGCTTAGGTAGTCCCGAATCCTCCATCCCAAGCTGTTTTCAGCTGTGCAAGAAAGGCGAAGCATGTAGTAGGTACGAACACGCCATCACAAAGTCTGGAGATGGATGCATGCACCAATGAGATGAGGGATGTGCAATCATATGTGTTGCTGCGCCGAGTTTATCAGATGTGAGGAATCCGAATATCCGTTTGGGAAGGGGAGGGTTGTTTGGGGTGCGGAGAGGAATGATGTGAAATCTATGTGTGGAATCTATGGAATCTACCTATGGTATTGATGGAATTTATGGAATTTATGGAATTTATGGAATTTGTGAGAGCACAATAACTGCGCCAAAATACTACGCGTACTTACCGTATTATCTACCTACCTAGACACATTTTGATGAGGGTGTGCAGAGTGAAGTTTGAATAAAGAAAATGGGCTCGGCAGATTGTAGATCCATACACTATCATACACTATTAACCAAGAAAAGGTTGGATGCCATGCTTTTTGCGCAGAGTGCCATGAAACTAAGGAAGGTACTGGGTTTGGAGAGAGGTACCAGTTGATGGAGGATAAGAACCTTGGAAAAGTTGGATTCATATGTTGTATTTTGTATTTTGTATTCACCTCTTTCGATAGGTACTTTTATGACTTCTTGAATTTTGATTTCTTTGTTTTTTCTTCCACAACTTTTCAACACAACAACAAACTATATTTCATACCACTCTCGATATCCTCCGAAATATTCGATACGATTCAACAACACTTCTAGAAAGAAAAGAAAATCAAAGAGAGATCAACAATATGGGTGTTCTTCCAATTGATACTCGTGAAGCTCTTCATTTGAATGAGCTCACTTCGAGAGCGAGGTGTTATCGCAATGGTTATGGGTTCGTGTTCTCTCATTGTTTACTACTTCCTTTTGATTCATCATTTCAATCAGAAACTAACTCCCATTCCAGTTATTACAGATGTAATTCCGCCTGGAGTCGTTTTGGAAGATGGATTCTCGCTGGTGTATTGATATTCGTCGGTCTCATATTACTTTTTGCCATCATGTAAGTATTATATTTATTCTCTCCCTCTCCAACCCACAACCCAAACCTAACAACTCCAGGTGCATTTCCAGACGTCGTCGCCGCCGCAACCAAATCAGCTCCACAAACCAACCCATGGCATACACCCAACCCGCGGCCACCTACGGCCAAGCACCCGCCAGCTACAATTACTCGCAGCCGCAACAATCGTATGCGCCGCCGGCGGGTGCACCACCCACGTATGGTGGTGCGCATGCGGGTGCGAATGCGGATTACTATGGGACGAGTGGGGTGACGCAGCCGGCGAATACTTATGCGAAGTAGAGGGTTGTGATGGAGGATGGGGAGGGGGAGGAATGATGAGAGGATTACATGATACCTGTGGAGATGGAGTTGGAGACATGCGTTCGTACATATTGGTACGAGTGATACGATTGATACAACTGCGAATGCGAATGCAAATGCTGGATAATGATTAATGGATAATATGTTGGCGTTAGCGCTGGTTTCTGGATGGACGGATGGATGGATGGGATATGGATTTACAGGATTTTCAATGACAATTCATTCATTCATTCACTCATTCTACTTATGTATCTGTGATGCTTTATGGAACTCTATTATTGTGAAGATCTATCTCTGTGATATTGAGACAATAACGTAGACATACTAATTTTATGGCTCTCACTCACTCAAGTCGTTCCTACTAGGTAAGTCAGCTATGATATTCCGTACACTACTGGGTAAATGTGATCCCTCTTAATTCCACGAAAGAATGAAATATGATACCATTCACCCCTCATCCTATACTCTCCTACAAAATTCACTAGAACTAGAATTTCAAATCGGGTCATCTAGTAGTACCTAGGTACCTGATGAATGGATTCTCCTCCCCATATTCCCAAAATCTCCAGCTTGTTTGGTTTGGTGACGCCCGATTTTGAGATAATGTGGCTTAATATTTCCTCGCGCCACCTAGGCACAGCCACAATCACTTCAGGGATCCAATCTCTTGGCTCCAGCTAGCGTTGAATTTGTGGAGTATGTGAGTGAGTGACATCCTATTTGGGTGGGTACCTAGATGTTCTTCTTCTTGTGCGACGTTGGAGTATACAACACTCCATCTAAACATGGGCCACCAATCATCTTGTATTTTACCACCTTATGGGGATATGCCTGTGAATGGAGTGTGGCATACTTTCTGGCCGCATGAGTAGGTAGGTAGCACAAGCAAAAACGATATCAACGGCGGCGCCAAATGGAGTATCAATTGTGAGGTTGTTTACTGGGTTCGATGTTTATTCTTTCCTTCCCTTTCTAAATCTCAATAAAAACAAGATCAATTGATCTACACGACACAACCAACACAAATTCCCTCAGGTCTTACAAGGAAACTTCCATTTGATGCCGGTGCCTTGAGCTAAGAAATCGAGATGAAAACGTTTGTGCATATACGTTTGTGCATATTTGGTTTTTGATTTCTTTAGTGGTGGGAGCTTTGCATTGCTGCGCATCCTACCTTGTGGCTTTTGGTCGTATTTTGCGGGAGTATTAGTGCGAGTGTTGATGGTGGTTGTTGTTGCTTTTTTAGTAAAGTAAATATGGAGAGAAGTTTTTGGTGTGAGTGGGTGTTTGTTGTGTTTCGATGGATGTGCTTTTTTTCATTAGATTTCGTTTCTCTTGCGGGTATTTTGTTGAGTGGGCGATTTTCAGATGTCCAGGGAGTATTCAATATGTCTTGTTTGGTGTTCTCATTTGGTGTATCTGGGTTCTCAGATTTCATTCTTCATATTGAGTTTGTTGGAAGTCTACTAGATTTTTCTACTTTTTCCTATCGATTTCTTAGGGAATTGGTAGTCTATTTCCAGAAAAAAGCCTGGAAAATGGCTTTGCATCCTAAGACACCTCGACGGTATGGACGGATAGGTTGCATGGGAATGTATGAGTTCTTTTGAGAGTGTCTGCAATGCGGGGATTTGAAATGGATTTGTTATGCTTTTGGAAGTATATACCCGTTTATTTCAAAAACGTTGTCGATTAGTGACAATCATTAATGTGTTGATGATAAGTCTGAGATATGTTAGTTGCCGTCGTTTTCAAATTGATGCAAGGCATATTCTGAGAATTGTTCCTTCATATTTTGGTGATTGATTAGTTCATCTATCAAGACTCTTTAAACATACCAATGGGGAAGCATTTTTCATGGAGACTTGTAAAAAGCATGGAATCAAAACCTGCAGTATACACCGACGGGAGTCATTGCACACTGGTAGTCTGGTAAAGCAAATCTCTTATACATTTGCTGTGAGAAGTATGTAGATATTTGAAGCATGTTTTATCACTCAGTTATATTTTTTATCAAATTGATAGGATTATAAGGGGGGAAGTGTAAACATTTCTATTCAGGATCTATATTGATATTTAGAATGCTATCCTTATTCTGATATCGTTTCATTATTTAAAGTTTATTTTCAAATTTCATAGTTGAGCATTAAATCTTTGCATCTTCCTCGATTTACTCGAAAATCTATAAACTATATCGATCTCATTTTATACTTTATTGAAAGAGAACGAAATACGAGTTCTCGAGATATTACCATTCGAAGAATTCTCCGAGACCATTAATACTATCTGCCGTATTATCTCCCTGGCATCTGGTACTTCTACTGAGACCTATGTTGCATTGTCATACACATGGGGAAAACCGAACGATACTTCCTACATCTGCATCAATGGTCACAAACACAAAGTCACTCCCAATCTGGAATCGGCTTTGAGACATCTGAGAGGCCACAAAGCTAAAGTTGTTATTTGGGTGGATGCTGTTTGTGTCAATCAGAATGACATTCCCGAGAGAGATACACAATTGAAAATGATGGCGGACATTTACAGGAAAGCCGAAAAAGGGCTTTCATGGTTGGGGGAGGAGTCTGACGATAGCTCGCTGGCGTTCAGAATGATCCAAAGATGGGCCTCGCTGGGTATTCCACATGGGATGTCACGAGGAGAACTATCCGCATTTTTCAAAAACACACTACAAGATGAGATATTCATGCCAAGATCTGTTACCGCTCTCAAGAAAATGCTGCAAAGACCATATTGGAAGCGAGTCTGGATACTACAAGAAGTTACCCTGCCTCCCATAGTAACGATGCAATGTGGGCATGAACTTCTACCATTCAGTGTAGTGGGGGTTTTCGCTTACATAATGCAAGATATTCAAAAGGAATACCATAGCGGTTTTTGGAGCAGCTTTGTCCATGACCTGATACCTACAGATACGGATACTATATCATTAATTCAATGGACCTTTTACCGAATGCTAAAATCGGTTGACTACGAGAAAGACGAAGCTCCACACTTACTGCATCATCTGTACGCATCTATATCTCTCGAAAGCACTGATCCGAGGGATCAAATATTTGCACTTCTTGGACTTCCTGGTTTCGAAAAATATCGATCGCTGGTTCGCCCAAGCTATATCAAGTCAACTTCAGAAGTGTTTTCTGAAGCTGCCCGTATCATGATTGAGGAGGAGAACAATCTGGATGCCATAGTTTTTGCTCGCAGCTTACGCTTATGCTGCTCGAACCTTCCACTGCCATCCTGGGTGCCTGACTGGACAGCTAGGGGCACCATTCTCGCCCCTCTCGTACATTTCAGGGGGAAAAGTCATGACCCTGTAGCTAAGTTATCTGATTACGTCAATTTTTCAGCGGATGGCCAAATACTATCAGTCACTGGTCTTTTACACGATGAAGTGTCTGTTTTGAAGGGTCGTTATTCCACTGCACCAATGAAGAGTCACGGCGAGTGGGAACAGTTATCTGATCTTAAAGATAATTCGTTACCAAATGGCCTCACGGTCTCACAGGCTGTGTTTCGTATTTTCGTGGGAATGGATGCAAACTCTACCCTTGATTCTCAACGGAGGAAAAACATCCCAAAGTTTAACTTGGAAGCTACAAGCTTTGCGGCGATATGTGCGATAGAACAAACCTGTATAGTACACTACAGTCACCGTGCACTTCTATTAGCCGAAACTCCATAAAACGCGTTTTTTCATGCGTTACACTTCTACAATTATATTTTATTATTTTAATTATGCTTTCAATTCATAATGTATGATGTATTAGAGGTACACAAAATAATCCTTATAAGCATCTTACTCCATATATGTAGCAAAATAGTAAGTAAGGTAAAGAAAGGCTTCAGTTTCTATCGAATTGTAAAAAGCTTTAAATTTTTTTGTGGAATTATATGATATATCTTTTTGCAAAATTTAGTATATAATAATAATATATATCTATTATATATTAATTGATTTAAATTATATATTAAACAAAACAAACGAATATTATTACAATATATACAATTATTTCTAAAAACTATATATAAATAGATTATTTAAAAGGTTGAGCTTAATTGTAGTATTAGAACTATTAAAAAGATTTTAATTGAATATGATATAGCTAATTGGAGATATAAGAAGAGATTAGAGCTTATATTAGTATATACTGCTAAACAACTTAAATAATATTTAGCTTATAGGGGGTTGACAATTAAAGAATAGAACTTAGTTATATAATTAGATAAATGCTCTGTAGAATAAGAAAGAAGAAAAAGATCAGAATAATACTTTTACATTAATTTTTAGAAATAGAATTTAGAAATGATTAAAATGTATAATACAAATAAGAATATAAAGATTATATATTAGAGAAGCTTTTGGGATATTGAAAGGAGCAATTTATATATAATGAATAGGGATTTTAAGAGTGCGAAATATAAGTATAGTATTAAATCTTATTTCGAGATTCTTGAAGCTAAAGTAGACTTTATTTTCGAAAAGCTTAATTCAGGATATAAATTTGTATAGGATAATACTTCTATTCATTGTGTTTATAAAGTACAAGATTGGTTTCAAAAGAAAGAGATTTCTTTATTAAAAAATTAACCTTTTTATTCCTTTGATTTTAATTCTATAAAATATATATAATGAGCTCTAAAAATAAGAATATATAAAATGTTTTCTAATATCGTTATTGATAAAAACGAATCAGAATATATTCATCAAAGACTAAAGAGTTATTTATAAATAGCTTGGGATACATTAAATAAAGAATTATTTAATAATTTGAAAGCTAATATATCTTCTAGAATTGAGGCTTATATTATAGCGAATAATTAATATATTAAATATTAACAAATTAAAAGTCAACAATAGAATAATTTTTATATATATTAATAATATAAAAATACATTATTCATTTATTCAAATTTAATAATTTTATAATTCTTAATTGATTTAATATTTAATATTGAAAAAGGGTGGTGCAATATGTGACACCATAAAATAAGCGGGGGGGCGGATATAAGTGGCCTAGTACTGTACTGAACCTTCTCGGTCAAGATTTATTCAAAGTCTCAGAGATGATCAAGACCTTGATGGATCCAGATTTTCATCGATTTGATATAAACACTGTCGAGAGACTTTCACAGATATCTGGCCGAATGCTTTTCGAGACAAAGAATGGGACACTAGGATTTGGACCTTTGGGTGCAATCCTAGGAGACAAAATATTCCATTTGATCGGGTACCCTGAAGATTTTATCCTATGGAAGATCGATGATCATTATCGTTTAATCGGGGATACACAAATTGTTCGGGCAAAACTCCCTTCTTTCACTGATGGTGGTTACGAAGTTATCGAGATATATTGAATTGCATTTCAAATCGGATGATGCCGCCTGGGTAGTGGGTGAAAAACTTGGGCTCTATCCTGGAAGGTCAGGTGGGAGTTTTATGGTACCATCCGGTGCTGTCGATAAATATGCAGCTGTATCCCACCATTTTTTTCCCATGCAGGAAAGGACTTATGATTTTGCAGAGGCTTGTTTGGTTGGTTTCGGGACGAGAACACGTAATATGTTTCGGTCAAGCTGGGTTGGGTTATCGTCAGGTGGAGGAGCTCATCTTGATACTGGCGTTTTGTTTTTGATACCTACCTACGACGTTACATGTGTTGATGATTTTCTGTACATTGATGAGCGTACTCTGGCGTTTCCGGGTATCTTTTTGTTTTCTTGTTATCTTTGTGCTTGGTGGGGGTTTGTAGAGTCAGAGTATTGGTACTGGGTGCTTGGGTTTATGAAACCATGTTGATCGTCTGATAGTGAGTTAGTTGTTTGTTGGCGTTGAGATCATGAGGTAAAATGTATGTATGAGATCATTTCGATTCTCAACGATTGAGGGTTTAGGATATAGTAAGTCTCAAAACAAGTGTCCTATGGTTTACGATTGATACAAAAAGAATCACATCTCACTACTTATCAGCCCTCCTCATTCATCTCTCCATTTTCTCCTCTCAGTCCCCCACGTTCCTCCCTCCCCATTCTATCTAACCACAACCCCCATCCTCGCTCTCAAATCCTGCACACTAAACCCTACCATAACTCCTATCTCCCCCTCCGGCACAACCCAATCCCCCAATACCGTATCCCAATAACTCACATCTCTCCTCTGCACCGAAAACACCACTTCTTTCTCCTCTCCCCCCTCCATCTCCACCTTTTCAAACCCGCGCAACACTTTCTTCGGGGTTTCTTCGGGCGTAGTTTTTTCCGGGAGAGAAATATACATTTGGAAAACTGTGGCGCCCGTACGATTTCCTGTATTTTTGACGCTGGTGGTGAGGGTGAAGAGAGGGGTATACAGATCTGCGTTTCCGCCTGGGAGGATGGGGAAGAGGGGATCCGGACGCGCGGTGACGGATTGGTTTGTGAGGTTTTGGATGGAGGGAGAGGAAGTGAGATTGAACGTCGTATAGCTTAATCCGCATCCGAATTCGTAGAGGGGAGTTACATTTTTCATTTCGAAACCTCGGTAATCGATTGCGAGGCCTTCGGTGAAATTACTTTGCCAGGCATTAGCTCCCTTGGTTTGGACTTCGGAGTTGCTGAGATTCACGATGGGGATGTGCATGTCTGTTTCGTGGATGGGGATTGTGTAGGCGAGTTTTCCGGAGGGGTTGACGTCCCCGAAAAGGATGTCGACGATGGAGTTTCCGGATTCTTCGCCAGGGTAATGGGCGAGGAGGATGGCGGAGACGTTGGGGTTTTGGGTAAAGGGGAGAGTGTTTATCCCGGAGGAGTGAGTGACGACGATGGTGTTGCCGTGGCAGAAAGATGCGACGTTGTTTACGACGAGGGTGGAGTTCCAGTCTAGGGGGTAGGATTCACGATCTACACCTTCTGAGGAGAAGGTTTTGAAGAATACGAGACAGATTTCTGGGGTGGGGTAGATGCTGCCGAAAGAGAAGGTGGAAAGGAGTGCGTTGTTGGTGAGATATTGGATGCGTGCGCCGTATGTAGCGGCACGGTTTCGGAGGGCAGCGAGAGGGGATACGAGGGTAGTGTGACGAGCGGAGCCGGATCCACCGCCGATATCGAGGGTGCCAATGTCGAAGCCGTTGGTGGGGACGTCTAGCGGCCAGGAGAAACCGTCAGTAGGGTCGGGAGCGGAATTGCCGAATATGCCTATATTTAGGGGTTTGGATAATGGGAGTATGTTGTTGGTATTCTTTAAGAGGACGGTTCCTGCAGAGCCGATTTTTCGTATCAGAGAGGAGTGATTAGCGCGGACGTCACGGGCGGGAATTTGGTCGCCGAAATCGAAGCCGTACATGTTTGCTAGGACGTATGCTTGGCTCGGGTCGGGAGTGGGATAATCGCTGTATTGATTAAGGAGAAAATAAGGTGTCATGATTCGGGTGACCATATCGTCTAATCTATCTTCCGTCATATTGCCCGCTTGGATGGCGGAGATGAGATGGGGACCGAAATATGTTTCACCGGTATATATGGCGCTTTGGGAAACGTACCCAGGCATGTCCATATCGAGACCTGCGTTTGCGGCAGGATATCCGGAATGTGTGGCGAACCAATCCGAGACGACGTAGCCTTGGAATCCCAATTCGCCTTTCAGGATATCGTTGAGTAGATGCGGATTTTCACATGCGTAAGTTCCATTGACGCGGTTATAGCTACACATTATTGAAGTGGTACCAGCACGTACTGCATCTGTAAAGGGCCAGCGATATAATTCATGAAGGGTTCGATCATCGATATTGGCAGAAACCGCATCGATGTTCGTTCCGTCTGGAAGTTGGGAGTTGGTTCGCTGGGTTTCTTGTTCATTGCCGATGAAATGTTTGGAAGAGGTTTGGACCCCAACGCTTTGCATGCCGGTTATGGAAGCGGTCATTAGATGACCGGTGAGATAGGGATCAGGGGAAAATCCTTCCCAATTGCGACCTCCCAAGGAATGACGACCGAGGGGTCCTGCTACTGGTCTTGGGGGTTTTAGTTTTGGTCTAGACGATGATGTGAGATGAAAACATACCCTAAAGCAACATGCGTACCCTTCTCTCTAAATTCCTGCCCCAACGCCCTGTAACTTTGGAATACCAAGTCACGATCCCATGTTGCAGCTAATGTGACACCAGAAGGAAAAACACTGATGAGATCTTGACGAGCAACAGCGGCGGGTCCATCGTTCAAACAAATTCCTGTGAAATTGAGACGCGGGATGGGACTGATGTTGCCGATACAATTCATGAACTCGCCGTCGAGAGTAGTGGCATGGTAGGTGCCTGTTACCATGTTTGATCTTTCTGTGATGTTTAATTGGCTGACGAAATTGCGAGCGAGGTGGCGGGCGTGGGTCCAGTTTGGGGAAAGGGGCGCTGGGTACATGTTAGAAGTGAGCGAAATGGGATAGGGGAAGCGGGAGTGGAAATGAATAGAGAGAGACGGAGATGGAGTATTGGGTAAAGGGTCAAGTGTGTTAAACAACGAAGCTTGGGAGGCTCGGGAGAGACACAAAACCTTCTCCATTTGTCTAAAGTTCAACCACACGAAGATTGATTTCTCAACTGTTGAATTGATCACCATAGACTCGTGACCTTAAATCGGCACAAGCCATACTCCCTTGCTACAAGAAATGAAAATCAAACAACCCACAAGCAAAACTATCACCAGAAATGGCTGCAACTTCATTTCTCCCACCCCAAAAATACAGAACCGCACATAAGAAAGGTAAAAGTCTCATCTTACATACTCCAGAAAATCCGACATGAGATGGAGGAAGAACTCGGTCTTTCACTCTTCATATATTGTATTTATATCCATAATGAAAAATCACCACCCAGAGTTATTTTTTTGAGGGTTATGATGTGTTGTCAATCTCCTATTCAGTTCTGCTTCGTAATTTGAATCAAAATAATCAAAGAATGAGGTCAAAAGACAAGTTACTAATCGTAATAGCATATCGTGTGGAGGAACGAACATCTTGGCGCCCGAATACGCGTATAGAAAGAGACTAAACGCGTATAGCGAGGCTAACCGCGTATAATAATGTATGAAAGCCGATCATACTTTCAGGATTTAGAGATCTTCGACATCTTTGTTTCAAAATATAGAGAGGAACTTTAAAGAATTCCGACGGTATTCAAAGCCCGTGACAATAATAGAAATGAATCGCAGAAATATATAAACAGATGATCGGTACATGCAGAAACAGCTTTGGCGATGAAAAAGATATGTGTACGCCTTTCAACTTTAAGTAGATATCAATAAGTCGTCTGTAATGCCTACATCGACTGACTATCATGGGCGATGGTAGTAACGCGGGTTCAAGATCGTAGAGAAGAGCATGACAAAAATTCTGAGGATGTAGATCAGACCCAAACAATGCGATTGAACATAAAGTCATGATTGTAGACTTTTTTCGATCAAATAATAAGACACAATTTGGATGACAAGGACAAGTTTTTGAAGATTGAGAGTGGAGATACTAGGTACCTACCTACCTAGTATGAAGGGAGAACTCAATGAAAATGTCACTTGACATCTAGTCGTATGATATTGAGCTTTACAAGTCTAGTCCCAACTCAGTCTAGCGTTTGGAACCCAACTAAATACCTACTCAGTGGGTTTTCTCCCTTTTCCCTACTCTGTACTTCATGTCTTTGCTACTCGTATTCTCTTCTATGCTGTTTCCCAAAAGCACTGAATCAATTACTTCGTTGCTGAACCAAGTTCGAAGCCTTGAATAATACTCCGCACCTGCTACTTCCTGTCATGATATGACGGATATCTTCACCCTAGATAGAAGGTACATCCCCACCTCATCTCCGACCCCGGATCGATAGCTTTAGCTATCAACTATAACTACCGAAAGCACCGATGTTTCCTATCCCGCTTTAGACCACTCAATAATGCTAAACACATGCAGTCGCCATCAACCCTTTTCATCTCCACCTTGAATCAATTTCTGTTTCTTCCAATCATACACACTGCACAGCTTCCCAGCTCTATATTAATCGGGCTCGATTAATCTTCAATACGTACGCATGGGGATGGTTGTGGCGATGATGCTCTGTTGAAGTTGGGGAGAATGCGGGGTTAGTTATTGGTTTGTGGGGCTCAAAACAATATAACTCAAGATGGTTGATGATGAGGGTTTCTTGTGGGGATTAAGGTGCCGGAATCGACAGGGAAGGGGACTAAACTCAATGTCGCAACAACATTCACTCAGAATTTCTTCATCCTCCTTTAATTAGGTATGGAGATAGAGGAACTAGAACTGAATATGGTTAGACCATAGCCAGTTCGCTGAGGTATACAGTAGCAAAACTCAGACCACATTCGGGTGTTCGATTATGTCACGATCTCTCGACCAAGAGACCTCAAGAGTATAAGAACCGAGAATGACTCCAGTGTTTCATCCTCATCTCATCTTTCTCATCATCTTATTAACCACACACAGTTCGAAGTACTCGGTGGAGATCAGTATGCGTTCTTTAAATCTAGCTACCGCTACTGCTTCACTTCCGGCTTTGACGCAAGCTCTTACCCTGACCGATATCTGTACACCAACTTATCTCGCAGCCAACTTTCCAGCTGTCGATTTCTATGATGGGATAACTCTTGATCCAACATCCATCACAGCCAAAACGGTGACAAATACCATAGCATCGAGTGTGTTTTATCCAAATGATGTGATCGATTACTGTGCTGTTACTTTCAAGTACTCGCATAATGGTCTAGATGACAGTGTGCTCCTAACATACTGGGTGCCTGCACCAGCAAATTTTCAAAATCGCTACCTTTCGACAGGTGGTGGTGGATATGCCATCAATTCAGGAGCTCAATCATTGCCTGGAGGAGTTGCATATGGCGCAGTTGCTGGTGACACTGATGGTGGTTTTGGAATTTTCCAGAACAATGTCATTTCAGATTTTCTCCTTGCAGATGGAACACTTAATTGGCAAAAGGTCTACATGTTTGGATATAATGCTATTCATGAAATGAGTGTCATTGGAAAGGAATTTACTACATCGATTTTCAATATGACAGCTAACAATACTACGTTATATTCTTACTATCAAGGTTGTTCGGAAGGTGGTAGAGAAGGGTGGAGTCAAGTTCAAAGATTTGCGGATCAATTTGACGGAACAACAATTGGTGCACCGGCTTTCAGATTTGCATTCCAGCAGGTTCAGCATCTTTATTCAAATATTGTGGAGAAGACTCTGGGCTATTATCCACCGCCTTGCGAATTGCAAAAGATTGTGAACGAGACAATCATTGCTTGCGATCCATATGATGGTAAAACAGATGGAGTCGTCTCGCGAACAGATCTTTGCACGTTGAACTTCAATATTTCAACACTTTTGGGCACACCATACTCTTGCCCAGCATCGACAGGAAGTCCATTTTCCTCTCCTACACCCGCACAAAATAGTTCAATCTCGGTAAAGGGTTTGGCCATTGCCCAGAAAATCCTTGACGGTCTTCACACCACTGACGGTAAACGCGCTTATTTCTCATATACTCCATCCTCCACTTTACAGATGCTGCCACAGCATATAACGCCACCACGGGTGAATATGGTCTTAGTATTACCTCTCTTGGTGGTTCATTCGTTGAAGTCCTTCTGGATCTCAAAAATGGTTCAAACATCCAATCTCTCGAGGGAGTAACATACGATACTCTCCGCGACTGGATTGAAGATGGTTGGAACCGATACAATGATGTTCTCATGAAAAACTGGCCAGACCTCACCCCCTACAAAAATGCAGGCGGAAAAATTATTCATTTCCATGGCGAATCTGATTACAGTATTCCGACCGCCTCATCCGTTCGCTACTTCGAATCCGTGCGAGAAATCATGAACCCAGGTCTTTCGTATAATGATTCTGTCGCTGCAACTAATGAATTCTATCGATTATTCCTTGTACCAGGTGGTTCGCATTGTGCAGTTAATACAGCGGAACCTAATGGACCATGGCCACAAACGAACTTGCAGATACCCATTGATTGGGTAGAGAATGGGGTGGCACCTGTCACTTTGAATGCGACAGTTTTGCAGGGGGCGAATAAGGGTACAAATCAACAGATCTGCGGATGGCCTCTGAGGCCGTTCTGGACGAATAATGGAACGATAATGGAGTGCCAGTATGACCAGGAGAGTATTGATTCCTGGATGTATGATTTGGATGCTTTTGACATGCCAGTTTATTAAACTTGGTTGAAACGTTTGGTGAAAAAGTTTGGGGCATTGGTTCATTAGCATTTATGGTTATGATTGAGAAATGAAGAATGGTGGATAGTTCTGGAATGTTGTAATACATCGCTGTATTTATTGTATATATCAGATTTATCGCACCAAATGATTAACCTTAATATACATGGATATCCTTCACACTTTTGCTCTGTACCAACGATAAATATAATCCAAATTCTAATCACAGATTATTGTTCTTGATCTGGTCAATTCCTGATATACATCAAATGTCTCATGCTAAAAATGGACCGAGTGAACATCGGACGAGGAATGGATGTAGAAATTCAATTCTATACTTTCCTAACCCAGAAGCACGATTTTAGCAGTAGTCTGAAAATTAATGAGATAAATTAGAGGTGAGGATATCTAGCTCATCGCACTTTACTCTCCAGATCATGCTTCTTGAAGAATAGTTTGACGAATTTAGATTGTCTATCGATTACTCTGGTTTCTTGCGACAAGTCCACGAGATACGTTTGCGCCATTATACCTACCACTTCAACGCTTTGTCCCAATGCAGTGCAATCTATTGACGGCGTAGTAAGTGAGGCTCGACGTTGTAAAGACTTCACGATACAATTTCCTAAGATAAGGTTGATCATTTGGCTGGAATTTGGGCCTAAAGGTATTCTGGGTGGTTTCAATAAGTTCAATTCGTTACGAGCTGGCTCGGTCATGTGATTGAGGCAGAGCATCGATGGGTGCACAAACAAATTGAATTGTGACTGTTCGAATTCCATAACCCTGGGATTCGGGCAGAGACGTCGTTATTATCTTTCTTCTTCTCTTTTCAAGACCTCTCTTTTCTCTTCATGTCGAATATCATCCTATAATGTTCAACGGTAACGTCACAAAATTGCCAAGTCCATGTTCTCCGTTTGCTGATGCTTCGATAGTCGTGATGGCATATGCGTTGAGTTTCAGTACTACTTGAAAAACGATTAGTTATAAGTCGCGAGCAGAGAAACTTTGGGTGAAATCAAGATCTTTCCAACTCAATATCAGTTTTGTGTTCATGTTTTCTCCAACATTTTCTTTTTCGCGATCCTCTCGGAATAATGTGCATACCAAAGTTTACAGGCTTTGTTCAAGAGACTTCCACTGTCAATCCAGACTGTTCTCTTCACCGGGTAGCTGTGTCCAAGTGATACCACAGTATGGAAGTTTTTACCAGAAACCGGTGTCTGTTGTGGGAGTTTGGTATACATTCGCGTGTCAATTGGCTTTGCGATATATCAGGGTATCACATTACAGCCGCATGGATCTGCCGTGATCATTTGAGATATGGAATCTTTTGTTTCCTCCATACATTTCCCTTGGAAAGCAATGCAGCTTTCCGTCGAATCTTTGATTCATGTCACAGATGATAAGTTTTCATCACGTTATCTCTTCGATGCCTTCCTGCACTCATTTTCAATTGCGAAAATGGGGGGAATTTTTACGTCAAACCACTTTTTTTTTCCTTTTTTCTGTCTTGTCTCAATATTTCAATCTTAATCTTCAAGCACCAAAAATCTCGATTTCATGTGGTTGAGAATTCATATCCTGTTAGTCTTGATGCCATCATTGGTGAACTCTTCGGCACCCACAGATACAATTCGAGATGCAGATATGCTGCAACTGAGATACCTGGATAATGATAATAATAATATGCAGCCTTCGACAGTAGGTTCTCCTATAATTGGAGTATCATGAACAAAATAATACGGAAACAACAAGGAGACACGGGATGCAAAACCATTGGTATATACTCCGCCAGGCGAATCACAATTGGTCTTCATTGCATTAGCGATGAACATCATACGTGCTTTGGGATGCTTTTGATGGGACTATGTTGAACTTACGAGTTATACAGTCACCTTTTCTACAAAGTAATCTTTGGTAACTTTAGCTGGAGACGGATTGGACCACGGTTGACACAAATATATGCACTGATGTCCCAGATCTCATTGATATCGTTGGAACTCCCATTGTAGATCCAGCAAAAGATCATCTAGAATTTTCTCCGGGATATACAAAAATGAAGCTGCTAATGGGGGTGTCGCTAATGACAAGAAATCCCATGGTATTGGCAGTGTAGGCAATAGTATACTACAGTGAAACTGTAGCGCGTATTAGCATATTGATATTGCAGCTAATACATATAGAGAGGAGGCTATACCATTCTCATACATATTCATGTATTTAGAGAATACTAACAATATACTGAAATACTGGAATCTAATATAAAATATACATTCCTATTCAAATTAAATAATAAAATTCTATTTCTTATTTCAAATTAAATAGGAATCCCTTATTTCTAGTCTAATTTGAATAGGAATGTATATTTTATATTGGATTCCAATATTTCAGTATATTGCTAATAATATTAAATAACTAAATGATATTGAATACTTTCAGTGATATTGAATTCTATACTACATACGTATATATTTCGAAAAAAACTCGATACGTATCACTAAACTAACCCGTATACGAAATACGGGAAATACTATTGCCTACACTGGGTATTGGGGGATCTTGCGCTGACAGGTAAATAGGGCTTTACAAATTCTATGCTGTTGATATCATTACTCTTCAGGACATCACTAGCCTTAGCAGGTTAGTAGGTTCTTTGATCTCCAAGCTATTCATGATTACATTGTTGGGTACTTTTGTGGCAGTACTGTTCTTCAGAGACCATCTGTCACCTTCACCGATGACGTGGTGATTGGCGCATTTGGAGGGTATTGTGAGCTTTTCAATTAGACTGGGGAATGGGTTGAAGTTCGCGCAACCTCCGGAATTGGCTCCACGTCCATTTTCACCATGGAGTCAAGTCCAAGCGATCAGTTAGTCGTTCCATATTTTAAGACTCAAGAAGGTGGGAAAGCTGGAGTATGAGAAGGGGACAAGGGCTTGGTGACAGATGGATGTCGACTGTTCCTTGCTACTGGGCACTTTGATAATTCTGCGGTATATGCAAACAAACCAAGTCAAAAGGATTTGACTCTGGTTGATATGTCTGTCATTCATTGAGTCTAGGTTCAAATGATACATATTCGTAGCTTACACTATCTAGGCTTTCCGACAGTCTTTTACAAGCTGGGATATGACAATCAAGGCGCGCCGCTGATTATTTTGTTCGGACGAAGGCCATCCAATTCTGCAGGAGCTGTGGAAATAAGTCAAAAACCAAATGGGCCCTTAGCTCACTTTCGTGTTGTATTACTAAGGCTTCTTCAGGGATGCCGACTACTACTACATCCAAAGGCCAAGCTGGTACAGGGTTTTTTTGTTGGATTTCCGACCCAAATGCTGGACTAAAGGCCTCCAATGTTGTACCTGTAAATGAAACCTTGAATTTAATTTCAATTTCGCCAACTAGAGGTCTCATAAGTTTCAATGTCCATGTTTTGGAAATGGGCGCTTGTATGTATCGGATGTAAGTGGTAGTGTCATATGCTTCGAATTTCCGGTTGCTTTACCTCTTCAGCGTAATCAGCCAGTCGACTTTTGTCAAGTTGCTGTTGGCTCCACCGGACTCCAACTATCGATTGTACCGCCGAAATTGCCATCACTTCAGTAAACGGTCGGACAAAAATTTGCCGGTACGGAGTATCTTCTGTATTTCGGATGAGAGACACCTCTCTATCACAGCTGATTTTGACAGACACGCAACGTTGATATTGAAATATTGCTCCAACAGCAGCGGAATAGTATGTTCGTATTTGATTTTAAATTTGGAGATCTGATTCTTTCGAAGTAGTAAACCGTCCTTGAACAAATTTGCATTCAGTTGCCTCGGAGATACGACACAGGCACGCGGGGGAGATGGTACATTTGTATCTGTTTACTATGACAAGCACCGAGTGTGCACTTGTCCCGGATTCAATTCCCGGGCTCTCAATTCTTCAAGCAGCAGTAGTAGTTCAAATATCAACTTCTATCACATAGTCCTCTTCATCTCTCCACCAGCGATCACTTCATCCAAGATTCCACAGCCACTTCTTCTACCACTGCGCCCTTCACTACAAATTCTACTTCTACGTTGACCACCTCGGTCGTACCTGCCTCGACTTGACTTGTGACCATCCAATCTATCGGCTCAAACACCTTCGTAGGGTGCTATACCGAAGCTACCGTCGGAAGAGCGCTAATTGGGAACACTTATGCAAATAATAGGATGATTGTTGAAAGCTGTTATGCTTTTCGTTCCGCATTTATCTGGTTTGACATTGAATGTTGGAAAGAGTGTATGAAATTCTCAAGCACCACCATACCTTTTTTTTATTCAAGCTAAAACTGTCTATAGGCTACTTTGAGAATGTCATCAACGCAGGCAGTTTTGTGTCTAAATCGGGGGGTACTTGTTCCTTGACTTGAATGGGAAATTCCTCGGAATACCTAAGTCTAGTTTCCATGTTTACAACCGTTGGAGTTTACTAAATAGCATGACTTAGTGCGGTGGATCACCTCGTTTGCAGATGTATTACAACGGCACAGGCGCTAATTCAAGCTTGAGCTCCATTCCCTCAACCAACCCGGTCTCTTCCTCCGTTCAAAGTGGTGTGATTGCCTCTTCAATATCCTTATTGTTGTCCTCCAGTGCACTAGTTTCACTTACCTCCTCAGCCGCCTCATCCACAATAGATACACGATCCAGTACTCCCTTAGCGATTTCTTCAGTCGCTCCTTTCCCATCAAATGATAATCCATCAATCAAAACATCAACCACTCCTTCGGTAGCCAGCACAGCAACGTTCGAATTTGCGTCTATAGGTTTGTTTCAACGACCCCGCAGGCAAACCATATGGATGACAAAATCTGCCCAAATTGTTCTACAAAGATTCATTGAGCCCCAAACTTTGCAGTTCTTCTCTCAAGTCACTGCTTAAATCCCTATCACCTACAAATACATTGCACTAGAATATGGACGGGAATATTACGCGGGATAGGTGCCGCCAAACCCTGAACCAAGTAGTCTAACGGGAGCGCACGCGTGTATCATGACTTGCAAGGGTGATCTCAAGCAGAGTTGCGGGGGTCCGAATATGTATAACTTTTAAGACGGCGTGGACGGCTCCAGCTGTGCTGGTGCGGTGAGCACGGCTAGTGTTTGAGGGAGTCAAAAAACCGCTTTTAGAAGAAGTGTGATTCGATTGAATGAACGACGTGCATATTAGATGGGGACGTTGTTGAGGATATGCTTTTGCTAATTGTTGGTCTTGCTGATATTTTCACAGAGAATTCGTTTCTTACATTGTTCCTCAACTTCAGATAACACCATTTGCAGAAGTCGATTTCTTCGCTACTTGGTCAAAGCAAATGATTCATCCCTTGACTGTCTTGAGACTGTACGCATTTCATCAATTTCAATTCGTTACATTGAAAAAATTCTCGAAACCTCATGATCGACATATTAAATGCACATGGATAATTGCTTTCTTAAGGTTGTTGGCAGATTCACCCCACTTCGGCTTTTGTAAAGCCCGTTATTATCACCAATGGACACGAGGGAACAAGGGATTTCCTTGTAGAAAGTAAAATGCCCTGTATGGGGGATCATGATGGGAAGGAACTCCGAGGGAAAGTTCCAATCATGAATGTGGAGATGAACATGTAAGTTGCTTCATATAAGAGACTTTTGGTTGTGAGACAAGTAGGCAGGAGTCAGGACTGATCTCTCTTGAAAACATATCAGATTTTGAATTTTTTTTGCCGACCGCAATCCGCAATGGTTACCTTGTTCTCTTTGCTGTACATGTCAGATTTCCGAATTGAAGTCACTCGGGATCATGATTGTCTAGGACCATGTCTGATCGATTAATAATTGTTTGTACATCAGCACCGAGGTTTTATTAGAGTAGCTCTCTGATATAAGAGTTCCGTATGCCATTCTCCTTTCGGAGGGCTCCCTTTCTTCCTTTTGTGTTCTTTATATAGTTCTTTGGTTACGCAACCCTCGTACAAACTACGTCAGTAATTTTTTTTGGGATACCCTATAGGGTTTTTGGAGATCAACGTTTTAATCAACTGAATTAATAGTTTAAAGCAATAATTGATTGATTTCTTGTGTTTGAAACCATTGGTTCGTATAACAGCCATTTATCTATCGATAAATTTATCCTCTACACTACAATGGCTTCGCCTCCACCCATAGGATCTGAGCCGGCGACAGAAGCTCCAACACCAGCTGCCTTACCAGTAACGCTAGAAGCCGACGATCCGGAAGCTTTAATCGACGATGGCGATTCAGCCCTTGGATCCGAACCAGGAAGTTCCACAACCTCACTCGCATCAAGTATTACTAGATATCGCATTGAGAATGGACGTACATATCATGCTTACAAAGATGGAAAGTACGCATATCCTAATGATGATATGGAGCAAGAAAGATTAGATTTACAACATCATATATGTAGCCTTACATTTGATGGTAAACTATTCACGGCACCAATTGAGGCAGATAAGATTGAGAGGGTTTTGGATGTAGGTTGTGGAACGGGAATTTGGACAACTGATTTTGCGGATGAGTATCCCCAAGCTACGGTTTTGGGAATTGATTTAAGTCCTATTCAACCAATGTTTACACCTCCAAATGCAATATTTCAAGTAGATGATTTGGAAGAGGAATGGACTTTTGAGGATAGTGATGCGTTTGATTTTATCTATGCGAGAATGATGACGGGAAGTATTGGGGATTGGGATCGATTCTTTGAACAAGCTTGGAAGTGAGTTTTCTCTTATCTTTTTGCTTTTGTCTGCTGTCAATCTATTTCAAGTTATTCTTTTCTTAAATTCGCTGAAATTCCCGCTGTGCTAACTATATCTTAAATAGTAACCTGAAACCAGGTGGATACATTGAACTTCTAGATATCCGACTCCCTGTCTCCTGCGCAGATGATACACTTAAGCCCGATTCAGCGCTTCTTAAATGGTCACAATTACTTTTAGAAGGAAGTGTTATAGCAGGCAGAGATCTAGACAGTGCAACTAGGAGTAAAGAGAAGTTGGAAAAGAGAGGGTTTCAGGGGGTTAGTGAGACGATTTATAAATGGCCAGGAAACAAGTGGCCGAAAGATGCTAAAGCTAAGGAGTTGGGTGAGTGATAATTTTTTCCAAAGGCGGGAAAGGAGTTCCGAGGAAATATTAGAGATGGTGTCAAGAGATATCAAAGGGGTAAAGAGATATGTGCTGATATGAATTGAAACAGGAATGTGGAATCAAGAAAATCTCACATCCGGACTTATGGGACTGAGTGTAGCCATATTCACGAGGCTATTAGGATGGAGTGTAGATGAACTAGAGATATTCTTGGTGGATGTTAGGAGAGAGATGAAGGATACGTCAATTCATGCTTATTGGGAAATGTTAGTATTCTATTTCCTTTTTGTAGGGAGGCTTTTTGGGAGGTAATATTAGGATAGTCATGCTAATTGATTCCGATAGATATGTGCATTATGGGCAGAAGCCTTTAGATGCTTAGTAAAATATTGCAAAGAGAGTATTGGGGTCAATGGCGTGTAGAGTGGAGTTGATGTGATATAAAAATAGATGATAGAAGATATCAAGAGTTGTTGAGTTTGGCATCAATTACACCTAGTAGTGATGGGTGGAGAGTCCGTAATTATTGGAGCAAATATACCAGATATATTGCATGGAAGTCTAGGAAGTTACTTTAACTGAAAGTCCGAATATCTAAAACTGGATTTTGCCTAGTGGAATGAGTGTATACATGTTCACCATCACTGGACGATGATAGTTTTCTCTTTTCCTTTTTGATCAATCTCTCATCATACTGATCTTCCTTAAATAACGTGCCCTGGGAAGAGGAGTTAAATAGGACACGGGCATACAGTGATCTCGTCTTCCCAATACTCAAATCAAGAACCAAACTTCTCTATCTCCTGTTCACTGACTTTAAACACTCCCTTCAACAAACTCCGATCGTAATATAATCTCACATCACCAATCTGTAACCCCTCAAACCCCAACTCTTCTACCACCTCCCCGTTAGCGTCCAATTTCTTTCCCGTTCCCTCGCCTTCAGCTTTCACCAACGTAAATACCATACTCCTCGGTACACTAATCTTTTCCCCTGTGCTTTTCACCCACCAATGGGCTATCCACTCTCCATATATTTTCCATTCCCCTCTTCCTGCTGGACCCGTTGTTCCTTCTTCCAATCCTCCAATTACAAAAAACTCTTTACTCTCCATTTCTATCTTCGAGAAAATATCACCTCCGAACAACCCCTGAATCCATTTCCATATTACGGCGCCGCCGACATAATCAACACCAGTGGCGTCGTGAAATATGCTACGTGGATGGTAATAGGAAAGACATGAACCGGTGTAGGATGCGGAATTGATTTTATTGGCATAGTGTTCGAGAAGATGGAGAGCAGGATGTTGACGAGAGGAGGGGGTGGGGAAGGGTCCGATGTGTTGGTGGATTGTGAGGTTTGGGGTGGACATCTTAGAAGATGAGAGGTTTTATTTGGGTAATTTTTGAGGAGGTAATTTTTTGAAAGGTTCACTTCTTTGGAAAAGCTTCTTGGGATAGATAGTTCGTGATTGTGGTTGAAGTGGTGGTATATATATAGAGAGAGGTTGATGATGGTGGGGTTGTAGCCGACGATACATAACTCGAGTATCACTAATCACCGAGATGTACGAATAGTAATCATACGAAATAGAATCAAATGTAAGGTCAAATTGATGTGAATACCTGAGTATTCATTATGATTATCTCGTCGATTCTTGAACCTCGGTAAGAATTCCTCTTGCATATTGATTTGTAAACATGCGAATGTACGATATGTTGTAGATTATTTTTTACTTTAATGACACTTAAGAATATAGTTTATCGATTTATCATTTAATATTTAAATTAAGATGAGTTTTATATTAAAAAACAATGCTATTAAATATTAAATATATCATATAATCAATTCGTTGATTATTTTAAGTTTGAATAGTATTTATAATTTAAATTGAGTTTAACGTTATGATTTTATTAAGGTATTTATTCCACGCAAATTGAGAACATTAAGTAACAAAGTAAATTAGATTTAAGCTGTATTTTACAAATACTAATTTTAACTAATATTTCATTCCTGCGTGTAAGTTCTTATAATTTTGATTAATTAATTTATTAATAAAATTTAGAAGTAGAGATATAAGTTATATACTAGAGATATAGATTAGTATAAAATCTATAGAATTAAACTATTAATTAATATTTAATGAATATTGTATAAACTATTGAACTGACTTAGTAAGGTGTATATACACATTTAGTAATATATTTTTGATAATTGTTTTATATACTATATATTATTTATAATTTATTATAAATTATTATACCACAATTATATCAATAACAATTTCTTAAAAAAATTTATATTATATCTATTAATATATATTATACTACAAACATAATATATTAAAGTATATATAAAAGATTTATTAATTAATTAGAATATAATCTTTTTATTATTAATAAATCTATTTTAAATAAGGAAACTTAAATATAGTTTTTATACAAATAAATTCTAAAATTCGAATTATATCAAATAAATTACAATTTTATTATTCATATTAGAATATATCGAATATTACATAAATTAATATTTACTTATTTATTAGAATATAATAATAAGAAATATAACGAAGATATACTAAATAAATAAAAATAAACAAGTCAATGATTAACTAAATTTTTGATATATTAAGTTAGAATTAATATATTTTAAATTAAATAATTTATATTTTTAATCTTAAAGATTATATTTAAGTGATATTACTACGGGATTACTATTAAGAATACTGAAAAGCTATTACGTGATTGGAACCAATAGAAGTTGTAAGCTTTATTACTACACTACGCATATAATCTGTTTAAAAGGCATAGTATTAGGAATCAGTTTTTGATAGCTTATTATTATATATATATATATCTAAAATAGAGTCTTTTTCTTTAATCTTTTTATTCTAAAAAAATTAATTAAAGAGTTATTGTTACGATATACACGTGATTACATCCAATCGAACTAAATATAGTACTAAGCTTTAAGCCAATCGCATATATAGCTTTGTAGCATACTCTCTTTAGCTCTATAGCTTTTAATTCTAAGATTAATCTCTAAACGCTTATTGGGTTCATCACAATTATTATTAATAATATATAATTGATTATATAATTTGTAATAATAGAAAATATATTTATTATTCAATATTCTTATTATTAATAATCTATTATTAATATAATTCAGAATATTCAATTATTGAATGAATATATTCTCATTTCTAATTAATTCACTTTTCTAATTAATTATTAATTTAGTTTTAATCAAAATAAATTTAATTAGAGATTTTAAAATAATATTTATAAGATAAAATCCCTGATGTTCTATTATATAATTGAAATCAATAGAAATTATAAGTTTTACTATTATACTATGTATATTATCTATTCAAAAGATATAGTAATAGAAATTGATTCTTAATAGCTTATTACTATATATATATATACCTGTAACAAAAGCTATATCGCTAAGCTAATCAATTCAAAAGACTAAAAGATAGAACTAAGAGTTATATTTTAATTTTATATATATAACAGAATAGAGTATAGATTAGAGCTAGTACTATTATATAGTACTCCTTTCTTTATTAAGATATAGTCTCTTTATCTATATCTAATAAGAATACAGACAAGTAGATCTATATATACTAGCTATCAGGCTAATAAAGGACTATAAGTATATATAGACTCGTTATATAGCTTTATTTGCAACTAAAAATAATTCTATTGATAATTACGAAGTTACTTCTAGAAATATCCAGAAGTTAAATCGCTAAGCTAAGTAACTCAAAAGACTAGACAATAGAATTAGAAGTTCTGTCTTACTCTTACATATATAGCAGGTTAGAACAGTAGGACGGGGTATAGGCCAGGGCTAGTACCACCACGTGACAAGGGAGTTGAAGGTGGAGTTGTATAAAGACTTATTCTTTATGATTACTAATAACAAATGTGATATGAACTGTCATGGAGTACCACGAGGGAGCGTGACTATATGCATATTGGAGTCGGGTGCTGACTCATGAACTAGCTATCAGGAGGCAGGTCGTTGGGTATTGTCTTTGGATCGCAGTGTCCCTCTGGAGATCAGCTGTTTGCCACAATATCCTGAGCTCCTTGCCCACCTAACAGCTGTCCTGTTACACTTTCAGCAGAAGTCAGCTCCCACTAGAGTATCCACTTGTTGCGTGATATCAATCATGGGAAAACTTGACCTGTTTCCAACTGTATCATAAGAGAGGCCATCTGAGAACGACATTGAAGAGAGATATATAGAGTTCGCTATCTCAACGGCGGTTGTTGTTGAAAATCCCTTGGTACGTGAGTCTGTGTTGTAAACAGCACCAAGATACTCGGCACTTGTCCAATCGTCTTTACTCGAGAAAACTGTGATGGCCCCACTACCACCTAAGTAATACTCGGCGCAAAGAACAATACGCTGATGGGGATAGCGGGCAGGAGTGATGATAGCATCGCAGAGGACGGATGTATAGTTCGATGGCACGTTCGAGATCGTGATGGGTGTCGGAACAGGAGAATGAGATTTTGTGTCAAAAGTGACGAAAGTGCCTCGCTGGCCATCGCTGATAAGGAGCTTGCTTGGTGAAGGTAGAAAGACTAGGCCAAAGTAGAGGTATGGCGATGTCGCGTTCTTTGCCGTTTTGTTTGACATGAAAAATGGTGTTACCGTACCATTAGGAGCGATTTTAGCAATACTATAGCCGCCATAGCTTGCTGAGCATAGCTGTTGCCATTGCTATCCTCAGCAATGTCCTGGAATCCAGCAGTGACATGTCCAAAGGCACTTTCGTACTGTTCCTGGAAAGGTGCCAGGTCTGCGATATAGACTGCTTCCATTGCTGTTGTATCCCACTTGGTCACCTTTTGCGGACCAGAAAGATCTCCGCCGTTAGTTTCGAATGCAAGACCACTTGTTGCGGTAAAGAACATAGCGCCACTGTGAACATCATAATCAACGCCTGCCATGTGATAAGGCTTGGTATGAGTAATCCCCGGAAAGGTCAGAACTTGATGGTCGGCAGTAAATAGGTCAAAACCCACAATCGATGCGTTGTAAATTGAACTGAACAAGTATCATGTAAATTAATTTGCACTACCAGTTCTGACAATTGGTAAGAACTTACCTCAAGTAGAACTTACATCGGACTGGATCGAAAGCTGAATTCTCAGGATATAGCTGAAAGATATCGAAGGAAAAGCTTCCGTTGATGGATGGACACCTCTCATGTCGAGGCCGGAGATGACCAACTGTAGCCGCATCTGCTACGGCAGACAGACTCAGAGCGGCAGAAAAAGCGGTGGTCCAATACATTTGGAAGGTTTGATGTATTTTTGAAGTAGATTTGTTGGAGTAATGAGACAACTTTTAAAGCATGTGTTTTGATAGAGAAATTGAATGGTCAAGCTTGCTCCTCAATTGGGGAGAAAATTGTTTGCATTTATACCTTGCAGACGGAGTCTGTAATGTCCGCAATGTCCAGCTACCGACAAAACTATAATTGCGTCAACGAGAGCATTAGCCGTCAAAGGTTGAGTGCGCTTAACGATTGAAGCTCAATTTATAATCTCAGCCTGCAGACAGCTTCCGAGAAACCTACCTTTGACTTCTTCCTTTCAAAATAGGAGAGGCTGTCACTCAGAACCTAGCGCCTGGAGAGACTACATACAAAACAATTTACTTTGAACATCAGCCTTGCAGCAATAGCGTCTCCAAAACCAGTCTTCAATTCTCCAACAATTCTCCAACAATACGTTGGGCAGCATTGAATGGATGCTGTCTTAAGAGGCATGTTTGTAGATAACAGTGACGTCATAACGAGATCAAAGCCCTTCCGATAAAAATGCGGTCAGTCATGTGACATCACACAATCTAACAGCAAAATCTTTTTTATTGCTATTGAGGGCACGTTTGTAATACTTACTACTCATACCTCAATCATTCAGTAGATTCATTTAGAACAAACTCAAAACATTCATATAATTAGTAGACAAAGAAACAAAATATTTAAACTTTAGCACTAGCATTCAATCATTCCAATAGACTTATACTGTATACTTATACTGCTATTCGTATTTCAATCATTCAATAGATTTATTAGCATCTGTATTCATTTAAAGCAAACTCAAAATAATCATATAATTAGGTAATAAGCGAAGAAACGAAATCGTTAAACTTTAGCACTAGTATCCGGACATTTCTACAAGTCCGGTTGTAACCCTGAATGCATCAATCATTGTATAAATAGGGGAACGACGAATTGTAGGAAAACCTCTCATCCACAGCAGCATCTCTTCACTACATTCCACGTGAACATCCAGCTGTAGTTGCTTGACACTTAAAGAGGCGTTAAAACTTGAAAAGACTTCGAAGCATCCAAACTATGGTTCAAATTTTACACAAGGCCGTACAGGGCTGGTTGCTCATGGCTGTTCTCGCCCAAGCTGCACCGACAGATGTGTCACATAAGAGCCCTCGGCAAGATCTTTCGGGTTCTGGCTCCAAGAACTGTACCAGCGATACCCGCTTAATGCGACGAGAATGGTATGTCTTTTTCTGGATTCTAGATGGGAGAATGCGTACTGACAACATTACAGGGGCAACATATCTACAGAAGAACGCCTGGCCTATATCGATAGCGTCAAATGTTTGATGAAACTCCCATCTCGAATTCCCAATGGAAAAGCGCCAGGAGCTCAGCAGTGTAGGTAATAGTATACTACAGTAAAACTGTAGCGCGTATTAACATATTGATATTGTAGCTAATATGTTTAGAAAAAAGATTATATTACTCTCATATATATTTGAATATTTAAAAAATATTAGTAATATATTGAAATACTGGAATTCAATATAAATTATTTATTCTATATCAAATTAGGTTAGAAATAAGGGATCTTAATTCGATTTGAAATAAGAAATAGAATTTTATTATCTAATATAAATAGGAATACATATTTTATATTGAATTCCAGTATTTCAGTATATTACTAATAATATCGAAAGTTTAAATAATCTTGAATATCTTCAGTGGTATCGAATTCAATATTATGTATGTACATATTTCGAAAAAAAATCGATATGCGCCACTAAACTAGCCCGTATACGAAATACGGGAAATACTATTGCCTACACTGGAGCTCAGAGCCATTACGACGACTTCGTTGCAACGCACATCAACCGTACTGCCAACATACACTTGAATGGAGCTTTTCTCCCTTTCCACCGCGAATATATCTATGTCTTCGAAAACGCTCTTCGCACAGAATGTGGCTAACAATACGCGCTTCCTTACATCGAGTGGTCCAAATGGGCTTGTTGGTTCGAGTAGGATACGGAAGACGTAGCACCCACGTGTTCGTAGGTCCTGTATGTCTTATTATATTCTATCTAAAGAGCTAGTTATATAGGAAAGTAGTAGGCCTTATATAGGCACTACTAAAAGAGCTAGTCTCTTTTGCATTCGCTTAATCCCTTTGATACAGTAGCCATTATATTGAAGTCATTCCTTTGAAGTCATTCCTTTGAAGTGAATACCCTTGTTCACAAAGGGCTACTGACCTTGCCGGCCCCCCTCTCTTCGATGGCAGTGAAACCTCACTGAGCGGTGATGGAGCCTTCAACCCGAACAGCTCTGTTCCGTTGGTTCCAGGAACCAATACTACGCTAGCGAATGGAAATGGTGGTGGTTGTGTAGTCAACGGTCCTTTTGCCAACTACACTCCATCTTTCCAGTTGTTCCCTCAGGTCACTGATTTTAGCAATTTGCCAGTTCTGAAAGATCCTTTAGGCTACTACCCACACTGCTTGACCCGAAACCTGAACAATGCAATCGCGACAGCTTCGTACTCAGACCCGGCGAGCATTACCAACATAACTTCAGCCACCGACTACACGTCTATGGTGGCGGGATACAACAGCGGCGGTGCCGACGGCATCTACGATCTAGGGGTTCACGGTGGCGGTCACTACGCAGCTGGTCCTGAACTGTGGGATTTCTGGGCAAGTCCCTCCGATCCAGTATTCTGGCTGCATCATGGTTTCGTCGACAAAATCTATACTACCTGGCAGGATGGTCATTATGCCACACGTGTAACTGCAGAGACGGCTGTTTTCGGCACTGACGCTCTCTTTGATGACTCATCCGGCAACAAAGTCACGCTCGACTACGTCATGGATATGGGGTTCCTAGCAGCGGCCAAGCCTATTAGGGAAATCCTCGATGTTTCTGGTGGAGAATACTGCTACGGATACGAGTAAGTATTGAGTTGGATCAGTAACAGCGGCGCCTCAAACAAGCACATCATGTTAATATCCCTAAGTACATTAATAGATGCAGATTAGTTGGTTGTTCTTTAAACTTATTATTCCTAATGGTCCGTACTTAGATGCACTTAGAGACACTCTAGAGCTAGGCAGAAAGCTTACAGGCTACATCTTTATAATCACCATAAATTCCTACCCAAATATATAGAAAAAATGTCTAGGTCCAAAATACAGAAATTAGAGGCTTAGTAATCTTTTCAGTCTTTTCAAATAAATTTGCTTATGTACTTAGCTAAATGTATGAACATAGGTGAATGACTTCAATCAAATGACTACTATACTGAACCTAAGCTAATGTGAAAGAGACTAGCTCTTTTTTAGTATCTATATAAGGCCTACTATCTCTTGTATATAGCTAGCTCTTTAGACAAAATATGATATAGGCAATTAGGACCTATAATACGTGAGTGATACATCTTTCGTATCCTTCTCAAACCAATAGTTAAGAGTTTAGAGATAATATGTTAAACCGACCATTTACGGTATAGACAAGAACACTAATTTACTCGCATCTTAAGAAAGTATAATAATAGTTAGTCTTACTCTAAGTATTAACATCTACTACGATCACATACTAGAGTATACTATAAAGATCAGATGAACTAACTAGACTAAGAAAGCTAAACAGAAAAGAGATTTCTAAGAGATCTCTTTATTTCTTATATAATAAAAATCGCTTACTTCAAGCTAGCCTTGAACTAAGGTTAATGAGTAATCACATTGTCATGTGATATTCGTTAAAAATCATGGATTACGTTGACGTCAAACTAGAAGAGCTCCATAGTAGTTAGCCAAGTAAATGAACGAAAGCAGCATTGAAGCGAAGTCCTACTCATCACCACCAAGCACAAGCCAACTTAGACCTTAAAATTAGTAAAATTGGCCCACTTCAATTGCACCCCAATAGCAATAACTGGCAAAACGCTTACAATCTCACCCAGGCCAGCATACTGAGGCGGAATTCTTGCATTCGGAAATGCTCCTGCGGCCAAAAGAATCGCGAAGGTGTTGTAGACGAACGACCAAGTAAAGTTAAAGACAACTCGTCGATAAAAGGTCTTAGAAAGGTCGATAAGAACGATAATTCCACCTAGAGCTGGTCGGATGAGAACTGCATCTGCTGCACTTTGAGCGATATCTGTGCCTCCATTGACATGCATACCAATCGATGCTTGAGCAAGTGCCACAGCATCGTTCGTTCCATCACCACAGAACATCACAACATTCTTTTCAGTGGAAATTTCCTTGATATATGTCTGCTTTTCGGCTGGAATGCATTGAAAGCGCACATGACTTTCAGGCAAGTCGAGAGTTCTAGAAACAGACTTGACAAACTCTTCATTGTCACCGCTAATAATAGAAATCCCAATATTCCGTCGCCTCAACTCGTTAATAACAGCCATAGTATCTGGTCGAAGACTATCTTTGAGACCATATACTGCGACAAGACTTCCGTTGACAGTGATGCAAAAGATAGAGACTCCCAGGGAGAGGATATTGGTTACCGCTGGTAGGTTTTCAACTCCCAGCCAATATGGATTTCCCGCACGAATGTTCTCTTCTCCCCAAGTAGCTTCAATGCCACAGCCTACAATCGAGGTGACTTTCTTCAGCTCAACTGCTTTGGTAACAGTTGACTTCAGATGAGCTGCTATGGCTGATGATACAGGGTGCTTGCTACTACTTGTCAAACCAAGAATCATTGGTCCGAGGGTGGTTCCTTCGCCGGTTGGATATAACTCTCTCTCCACCGTAAGTAGCCCCTGTGTGAGTGTGCCCGTCTTGTCAAACACGACATGGGAGATATTTCTAGCCTTTTCAATAGTTTCTGCAGACTTGAAGATCACGCCGTTTTTAGCAGCCACTCCGCCAGCAATGACCAGAACCATAGGAACAGCTAGGCCGACTGCACATGGACATGACACAATGAGGGCGGAGATTGCATAAGTCATGGCTTTGATGCATGCAGTTGTCGTTGAATAGTCTTGAATTCCTATGCCAACTCCCACTCTGACAACGAATACAATGACTGTGAGAACAAGAATAATCGGGACAAAGTATGTCGCTACTCTGTCTGCCATATCTTGGAACCTGGCTTTGGAAGATTTTGCCTCGTCTACCATTAGACCAATCGACTTGATTGTATTGTCTCCCACAAGACGGTTTAGGCGAATTGTTAAGCTTCCAGAGTGATTTATAGATCCGGCAACAACCGGAGAACCCGGCTTTTTGGCCACAAAATTAGCCTCACCCGTGATCATAGACTCGTCGACGTCCGATACACCAGAGATGACAGTCCCATCTGTGACGATTGCCGAATCCTAGATCAACAAATTAGTAACATTCTTGAACCACAATTTGCGTATATACATACAGGCGACATTAAAAATACATCTCCGTATTGCAAAAGCCGTGCATCAATCTCATTTTGAGAGTCTGATTCTGAATTCACGAGAATTGCAATTGAAGGTTGAAGTGATTCAATAGAAATCGACTCCACAGCTCGCTGTCTTGCCAAACTAGTCACAAGGCGTCCCACCATAATCAATGTTACCAGTAGCGTACTGGTTTCGAAGAAGCTCCCAGTTGAAAGAGGCTTTTCATAAGCCATGAGAGTATAGGCGATGATGGAGTATATGTATGCGATTGATGTAGAGAGAACCACAAGAAAGTCCACTTCAACTAGGTGTGAGAAAAACAGCGCCTTAAAGGCGCTGAAATACCATGGGCCAGCAATGTACACCTGCACAATTGTTGCGAGAACTAGTGAAGCAGCTCCATAAGCGATTTCACGAGGATGAAGATCGGCCCATGCCATGATAAGCACGGGAATAGTCAGCGCTATAGAAACCATCGTTTTGAAGAGCATCAAGCGAAGATGAGCTCTACCAGATGTGATGAGAGGAGGGTCTGCCATAGGGGCTAGCTTGGCTGATTCAAAAAATGGATTGCTCATCAAATCTCTTGCTCCAAGAACCTCTGGATGATAGGTCACTCGAATAGTGCGAGAATCGAGGATAGCAATACCCGAAATTCCATATGGAAGGTCTTTGTCGCCTATGAAGACTGTAGAGTCTTCCACAATGAGGTCAAGCTCGTGTCCAGATAATGTCATCTTCGAGCAAGTAAATCCAGTCATCTTTTCAATAGACTTGATAATTTCCGCAACGTTGATATCGGCTGAATTTGTACAAATGTCGAACTCTGCTCGACCCAAAACAAGGCTGGTTTTGATATTAGAAATCGCTGGCATCGAAGTCAGAGCTTTGGAGAGAGATTTTTCGCAGCCAGTACAGGTCATCCCTTGAACACTGATGATGAGATGTTCGACTTCAAGGACGCCTTTTTCCAAGTCTACATGATTGACGCCAGTGTTTGAGGTGTAGGGTAAAATTTCAACATCTTGCGAACATTTGTTACCTCCAGACTTGGCTTTAGAACAGCAAGCTTCTCTAGCGACTAAGCATTTCCCAGTCGGATCCGAGAGATCCTGGTTTCCAATTTTGCAATCGCTTGCCTCTTCCACTCCCAAGGTAGTGTGTTTCCCAGCTTGAACCTCAGTAGAACAGCATTTATCCAATGACGGCTTGATGTTTGATGAAGTCGAGGTTGGCTCTGAGCAGCAGCCTTCTTTGCAATCGTCCAAAGGCGAAGCGACGACAATCGAATCCCCATCTGATTTAGAGCAGCTTCCTTTGCCACCATTACTCGCAGATGTCGATGTAACCGCTGGTTCCACGCTCGGATCAGAACAGCATTCTTTACCACAATCCGAAGCAGGAACCTGATCATTGAAATTTGGCCCCTCTGCGCAGCAGTCCAAACCCTCTTCGATATGCTTAGGGCTGGTTTCATCATCGCTGGTGGATCTAGATTTTGTGGCGGAATTCGTTCCAACATCGCTTCCAGTGTGATCTGGTGGTGTAGAGCAACAGGCATTTACTTTCATCACCGCTTTCACCAACTCGCCCTTCGGAGGAGAGCAGTACAATTCTTCAGCACACGAAACGCCTCCAGCCGACTTGACAGAACTACCCCCACTAGAAGCTTTTCTCATTCCTGTCAACAATCTATCCTTCTCCGAACTCTTGCGCCGATCAGGCCCAGTCTCTAGAGCACAGCATGATTCCAAATTCAAGGAAAGTAACACCTTGCAAATACACCCAAAATTGTTCAATATCTCATTATATGCAGCCTTTGCTTTAGAAAGGTGGCTCTGACATGGTTCTTCGTCGGATGGGAGTGGGATGGACGATTGGGAGCTCGAGGGAAGCTTATTTCGATGATTGTGTTCATTCTTGCAATCTCGGCGTGCGATTTTGACAACACAATTATCTGCATGAGTTAGACAATTAGCTGGAAATGCCACAGAGCCAGAAAAGGCCTACCATCGCAGCATTTGTTCTCTGGTGAAGAGGGAGAACAGCATGCAGAGCGGGCACAAGTTCTCTGGCGGATTGTGGAAGAGCCCCCTCTTCCTACTTCATCGCTGATTGAGCAAGTCATATCTCTCACGAATGCAGGTCAGAACTGCGAAGAAAGAGAAATTGTTGGATATGCCGTCTGTTCCATAAACTGACTTGTTGCCTAAGAAGTACACGATGACAAACTGGGGTACATCTTAGTGCCATAGATGAGGTGGTCTGTGCCCACAGTTCCTCATAAAGTGGATCATGATGATTTAATAAATATAGATTCATATTTCCAAATATTTCCGTATATATAAGTTCAAGTTCGTCAAAATGAAAATTCCTCCAAAACTTTGTATTCGTAATATTACTTGTTCGAAGAAAGAGTCTAAGAAATTCGTAAAATTCACCCTAAGAGAACTCGAGTTTCGTATATATATAAACCTATAGTACTACGGGATGCAACTCGGGTCTTCTAAACGAGAGATACGATTATGATATTCCGACGAGGTCTTTGTCTCCTCGATTTACAGAAAAGATATATAGGAAAGAAGGAAATAGTATGTTTTTCGATACTATTTTACAGCTTTAGTACATAATAACATTATTGTAAAATTATTACAATAGAAGAATTGAACACAAAAAAGAAGAAATGAATTCAATTATAATTCTTGATACTTTAAAACACTTCTATCTCGATCTAACACAAGGCGTAACTGTGTACTTGAAGCGAGTTCACTGCCTCGTGGAATGAATGACTTTCTTTGCAACTCCTCCAAATATAGTTCATAAGCAGGCATATAACCTTGAACGAACTGAATGACACTTGCATCGGTCATACCAGTGCCTTTTACTTTCCACATATTGTGCTCTTGCTCTATTCTCCACCTGTAAACGTTGATGAGCTCTTCTGTATCGAGATGAATCAAAGCGTCGAAGTTTGCTGGGTTCATGAACGTTGTGTTATACCGACGAAGATTTTCATTGATCATTTCGAGATGACCAAGGGGATGATTTCGAAGTGTGTTTGTTGGGAATGTCGGATCTTCACCTAATCTCATAGTTCGAGGCTCTCTTTGCGCTCTCTCCCATTTTCGCTCGAGCTCATCTCTTTCTAATGACTTGAATCCTACACACCACCCTTCAAAGATAGCAATATCCAATATGTTTTCTTTACTTGGAATAAAAACCTTCCAGTCTTCCTGGGGAACTCGATCTCCTTCACCCTGGAATCTACTTTTATCGAATGCCGGAATCTTGACGATACCAGTAGTAAGTGACTCAAAAAACTGGCTCACAAATGCTTCATCGTGTGTTCCTGGTTGTCCTCGTACTTGGAGTAGTCCGTTATCTCGATTCTGATTTTTTATCTTAACCAAAGTCTCGTGGTCATGATAAAAGTCGTCGAGAGAACAAACAATGACCCTAAACTGGTGTTCGTGTTCCAAGGCTAATGCAAGCTGGCTGGCATAAGTTGATTTGCCACTACCTTGTAGGCCAGATAAAGCAAGGAGGAATGGCCTGTTGAATTCTGTTTGCTGATGCTGCCACTTCTCATGATGAGCTTGAACTCGAGGGACAACAAAACTCAAGATTTCCTGAATGACATTGTTTGGAATTGTCATAGTACCGGCAAGGGCAATCAAAAGCGGCCCTTTGACGAATTTTGGTCTATTAGACGACTTACTCACTTGACTTAAGGACAAATACTTGTTGAACCAATTCGGCAACAGTTTATGTCAAAAAGCCATATCTTTCATGAGGTATGTATGTCAAGAGTGCAACGGAGTTTCCTTTCCCCGGTGACTTCGCGCACGACATCTGCAATTAGCATGGGTTTCGGAATTGCCTTTCGCCGGTATCCTTGCAAGCGACTGGGATCGACTGTTGATATTATCCCTACAATCTTCTTCCTTACTGCCGGTTCATCTCTACGTCAAGTCTTTTATTAAATCATCTATTCCTCAAAAGACACAGTATATTTCAAACCGGAACTATTTTATCATTCGATACAGCACATCTACATTTCTGGTTACCGCTTGTTCTTACCGTACAACTAGAATGTCTCCATCTACTATCAATTCGACAAAGGAATATAGCATCGCGTCCATTCCAGCTGATGGGATCGGACCTGAAGTCATCGATGCAGGTATTCAAGCCCTCAATGCTCTCGCGACAACAATGGGAACATTCAAGCTTAACTTCACACCCTTTGATTGGAGCTCGGAAACCTATAAGAGGACTGGAAAATACATTCCTGAAGGTGGCCTTGAAGAGTTAAGGAAGCATGATGCCATTCTCTTCGGTGCAGTTGGTGCCCCTGGTAAAAGAAAAAGAATACTACAATTTTAAGGTACTAGTACTAATCAGTATCAGACGTTCCCGATCACATCTCTCTTTGGGGTCTCAGATTAGCCATCTGTCAACCATTTCAGCAATATGCCAATGTTAGGCCAACTAAAGTTTTCCGTGGAACCAAATCTCCACTTCGGGACTGCAAGCTCCTAGATTGGGTTATTGTTCGTGAAAACAGTGAAGGTGAATACGCTGGACAAGGCGGTCGTTCGCATCGTGGTGAAGCATGGGAGACTGCGACTGAAGTGGCCATCTTCACTAGACACGCTGTTGATAGAATTCTTCGTTTTGCGTATGAAACTGCGCAGAAACGACCACGAAAGATGCTGACGGTGGTAACCAAGAGCAACGCACAACGTAATGGCATGGTTCTTTGGGATGAGGTGGCGAAAGAGGTTGCAAAAGACTTCCCAGATGTAAAGATGGACTTCATGCTTGTGGACGCAATGACCTGCAGGATGGTATTAAAACCAGAGTCTTTGGATACTATTGTCGCAACGAACTTGGTGAGCACCATCATAACCAAGAGAGCCTGAAGATGTTGAAATCATTGAACTGATAGTTTGTAGCACGCTGATATTCTTTCCGATCTTGCCGCTGCTCTCGCAGGCTCTATCGGTATTGCCCCAACATCGAATCTAGATCCTACCAGGAACAATCCTAGTATGTTTGAACCTATTCATGGCTCTGCATTTGACATTACTGGCATGGGCATTTCAAATCCTGTCGCAACTTTCTGGACTGCTGCGGAGATGCTGGAATGGCTCGGGGAGGAGGAAGCAAGTCAAGTTCTCCTAGAGTGTGTTGAAAAGGTGTGCGAACAGGTACGTTCTATGTCATCTAAATAGTTTGTAGAGATATTGACAGCTTTAGGGTATCGTGACTAAGGATCTTGGAGGGAACGCAAAGACGGCAGAGGTGACCGATGCGGTTTGTGCCGAGATACAGAAATTTTTCAAGGGAAAAAATTCTGTTTGAATACTGTGCCACTTTATGATTTTGTATCGACTTTCGTTTCAGTTGTAAGAATGGTTTTTGTACTCTAGGATGCTTCAATAGACTATCTGGATTGTTAGTCAACGCATTCCAAAAGATGTAGTCGGATCTGTTGTTCCCGTAGCAAAATTTGAAAAGTCCATCGCAATGAGTGGATCGAACAATGCTCCTTGATAGAGCTCTAGCTGATCCCATTCGTTTTCCGGATTTCTTTCTGAAGTGGCTGCTTGTGAGAAAGTTGAGGTTTGCTGCACGCTGAATGGCCGTGAAAATGACAGTGGAGTTTGCGGTATGCGCCTTTGGGACTCACTACTACTATTATGAGGTCTACTAAAATCTGTGCGGATCGAATGACTATTATAATAACCTTCATCAAGGGTGAAAGTGCGATTATTAGATTGAGTTGATGGTTCGCTCATGTGTTGCGGCCCATTTGTGTCTTGTGAATTCGATGTGAAGATTGCTTGGTTCGGCCGATTGGATCCGACAGTTACTGTTGAAGCTTGATGGCTCCTATCAAGCGCATGAATAAGTTGCTTAACGGCATCTGCGCATGATTCTGGCCATACCGTTTGGCGTAATGAGAGGTGTTCTAGAATGGCCAATGTTTCTTTAGCATATCTGATAATATTAGCGTGATGTTTGTCCTTGAAGGAGAAGGTTGTTAACAAACTTTCGTGCCGGTCCAAGTTTGCAATGTCCTTCCAAAGCGGCATAGGCAAGCACAAAACAGCTCATCCATGCAGACCACGTGAAAAGTGGCCAGACCATTGGGGCTTTCAGAGCCAGCGATCCATCAAGCGATGCATTATTGCGTTGAAATTCCCTCAGGAGAGAAATGATTGCTCTTGATGCGCTGATGCAGTTTTGAAGTGCAGACTGAGAATAAGTGTTGGTCGAATTGGAAGTGATTAGCGGCCGATTTAAAGCAATGGTTGACTCATGCTGCAGGATTTGAATAATTAATTTGTGGGCTGGTGACAGCGACGGGCTGTTCTCTGCTTCTGAAGAATCTTCATCTTCTTCGCTAACTTCATTCACCCATTTCGCTAGCTCGGCTTGCATCCCCATAGCACGCTCAAAGGTTTCCTCACGGCCGGACAAAGATTTGTTACGAAGCTCCAAGACACGGCCGCGAATTCGAGCATGTTTAGAGAGGTCTGTTAAAAGACGCAATTGATGCACTATTACTTTGATCAGTCATTAGATCAATCCAATAATTCATAGGGCAAACAGACCATTAGAATCTTCAGAATTTGGGTTATTGCTCCCATTTCGCATATGTTTCTCTTCGCCTGGATAGCAGACGTCTATATCATCATCTCGAAGATCTAATGGAAGGCCAAGTGATTGCGCAACGATCCGCTCCATACAGTAGAGCGACCAAAACACTCGTCGTCTCAGTTGAGATTCTGCAGGAGTAAATCCGTCAAAACGAGCAGGACATCGATGGCAACCAAGAGCATAGGCCATACTTCTCTCTTATTAATGTTGGTTTATTGGACGAAGAGCGAGGTACTTACCGAACAGCTAGTCCACCTAGCCGACTGGCATAGTTAAATTTCATCATAGAAATCAAAAAGAGCTCAAGAGAAATGGTAGCTTGGAGATTCTCAAAAGTTGCTGGAAGAGCCATAGTAAGCTGAAAGGTAGAGCCCAGTTCTGCGTTATTGTAAAAAATGAGATGACGAGGAACTTGAGGAAGACGCTTAGTAGATTGGCGACTGTCGGCAAGTGACTGAATCAAGAATTAGGACCATCTCACGTAGAACTGCAGAGTACGGGAATATTCGACTTGCTTACGATTGATATAATCGATCGCACAATCAAGGCGTCGGAAGGTGCAACTGCTTGCATTCCCTGTCGACCGATTGCCTCAAAGATCGCTAGCACTGCTGGGGCGTGTAGGAATGGGAAGAGAGGGTGCCAATTGGTAAAATAGCTTTCCGAAAATTCTACGAGCTGATGGAAGGAGATGGGATCAGAGCTTGATTGGGAAGTATCACCAACTTCATTTTCCCGGAAAAATGGAGGGAAAGAGGTGAGGAGATGGGAGTTACTGGTAGACTCTGACAGTTGGTCATCCTCGCCCGGCACAATGTTTTCCGAGGCAGGAGTAGCTGTATTCGGGTTTGTGTGTGTCGAGTTTGATTTCCCTGCAAGAAGCTCATAAACTGTCCGAATAAAATGAATTCCACTTCCGCTACCAATAAATCTGGGCTTGCTCTGATCATAGCCTGTTCTCATTAACCCAACTTCTTGTACAGGGCTATTTCCATTGCCGAGTTTTCTACGTTTATTGCGATGGTTGTCATCGATTGGAGAGTGTGAGCCCAGATTGGTAGCATTTGATGTTGGAATCATTACGATTACGATAGACACGTCAAAGCGTCATCTTATGAGATTAATAAATGTGAAGCATGCAGGTCGAGGATGTTGAATCTCAGCTGAGGATTGAATTCTATCAGGAGAGTGGTGGAGGTGGAGAAGGTGTGGAAGGGATTTGCGCGGCTTTGGATAATTGTTGGACAATCATACAAGTATGCGAGCGGGAATGTTTCAAGTGGAGATGGGAAAATGTCTTGGTATTTGGGGTATGCATGCTCACGTGATGATCTACGGAAGTACCCGCGCTAAGATATTTCACCGCCCTTGTTTTGAGTAAAAACCTCGTCATGCGATGGTCCGGACAGAATTACTCCGTTGTTGCAGATTCCTTGACATTAAACTCGATGGGACCCCCCACTCGATTTCGTTTCCCGCAAACTGTTAATATCTCATCCAGAATGTCACAGCCCGTAGCTAGGTTAGCATGTGAGCCCTGTCGCCAGAGAAAATGTAAGGCAAGTGTATTCCTAAGTCAAGCCTGTTTCGTTTGCTTATACTTATCGCTAGTGTGACAGAACACTGTATGTCATGTTCATCTATGATATCCCTGAGAACCCGCTGACGAATCACAGCCCGTCATGCTCCAAATGCCAGGGAGCCCCACAACAATGCTATTACTCCGAGGCGAACAGAAGGTACCCAGTAAATATTCTGTACATATCAAGTTATGGCTTACCAAGTTATTGTTAAGAGGTTTACCCCCCGGCTATCTTGCGGGAATTGAACAACGCCTATTTGAGACTGAGATCGCTCTACACAGAGCACTATCGAGACTGTACAACCATTCTGATGCCAAATTCCAAGAAAGTCGAGAATTTCCGCAAGTCTCCAAGGGTGAATTGATGGAGCAGTGGCAAGAATTACCTCTAGGGTCAGACATTGATCTGGAAACATGGTGGTCTCGAAAGACGAAATATGTCGAGCCACTCGATAGGGAGTGGGGTTCACCGGAAAAGACTTCAACTCCCGAAACACATGTTGCTCATGGAATCGATGACATCCCATCTGTTGACTGGGAGTTGACAAATGAAAGACATAGAAATGTTCCAGATAGTGCAGATTCACTCACTCGAGAGACTATGGATAGTACAATATCTAGTCTACCAAGGCCCCCGAACTCAGTCGAAGTGCAAAGGAGCCCTGTGGACCCTCAGCTCCAGTTTGAGAGCGACATCCCCGGTTCTTCAAGCTGGCAAAGAAATTCACAAATACAAAACCTTGGTGAGACCATAACTGTTGCAGAATCATTTGCAAGAGCGCATCATAAAACATATTTCTAGCTCTAACTTAAAAGACTGATAAGCAATACAAAAAGATCAGAAACAATGCTGCATCGTTGTATTCCTGTTTTGAATGAAGCCATTTATTTCCGTTCCGTGAGTTGTTGTATGTAGTGCTACTCAACATAAAAATAATGGGAAAATGCTATTATGCTTTGGGTAGAATTCACAACGGACAGATGCAATCCGTGGTAGAAGTCTGCGCACTTTTCTTTCCCCGGTGGCTTGAGAAGCACACCACAGAATCCGGGATCTCATCCGGGCTCTCATCCGGGCGGACAATTAAGGCTCCAGCTAATCAAGGAGTCGCCTGAAGCTTAAGGGGATCAATTTCACTTTGAACTTGCAGCTATGAAAGTATACACGGTCATTACTAATACATGAAGCTATTCAGTCTTGTTCAAACATCAAGTTTTTAACAATACCGAAATTCACGTGTATTTGTCTATGTCCACACGTATGCCTCCCTTCACTTCAGCGTTCGGAGCGCAAAACATTGCCCTAGAGAGTATTTTGCAGTCAGAAGATCATGCTCGCATAGGTATCAATGGTTTTGGGCGAATAGGTGAGTCAATAATCCTTGAATCAATACAATAATAGACCGTCAGTACTAATATATCGAGCTTCAAGGTCGGAACTTGTTGCGAGCATCATTGCTTAGAGACGATGTTTCCGTCGTAGCTATCAACCACACTTGCTCTTCGGTTGAAGATGTTATTCACTTACTCATGCACGACTCGACACATGGCGCTCTTGACAAGTTGATGGGTCACAAAACGCAAATCGATATCTTGCCTAATGGAAGCATTGCTATTGATGGCCAGCATATTGCACTCATGTCTGAGCGCAACTTGGAGAAACTAGACTGGGCGAAATATGAAGTAGACTACGTTGCCGAATGCACTGGCAAGTTTCGGTCAACTGCTCTCGCGAGCAAACATGTCACCATAGGGGGTGCTAAAAAGGTTTTGATATCGGCACCAAGCCCGGATGCACCAAATATAGTCTATAAGGTTAACTCGGATAACTACTTGCGACTCTGCAAGGAAACCATAGTCTATTCTTGCGCTAGTTGTACTACCAATTGCTTGGCTCCCATCGCCAAAGTCCTTCAGCATTCCTTTGGGATTCAACACGCTTTCATGACCACCGTACATGCCTCTACGCAATCTCAACATGTTCTGGATGGATATAGCACGAAGGATAGGCGTTCAGGGCGCTCGATAATGGGAAATATCATTCCAACCACTACTGGTGCAGCGAAAGCTATAAAGACTGTGTTGCCCGAGCTGGCCGGTAAAGTTTCTGGTATTTCAGTTCGAGTGCCAACAGCAAATGTGTCTATGGTGGACTTGACTGTCGAAACTATACAGTCAACATCTCTCGAGGAAATCATGATCAAGTTCCGTACTTCGGCTCAACAGGAGCTATCTGGTGTCCTTCAGGTTGAAGATGAGGAGTTAGTGAGCTCAGACTTCCTCGGCAACTCTTGTAGTGCGATCATTGATTCAAAGGCTTCAGTTGAGCTTAAACCCAATGCAAGTAACTTACACACTCCCAATAAGAACTTTTCGCTGACTTCTTCAAGTTTTTCAAGATCATTGCATGGTACGATAATGAATGGGCTTACTGCTGTAGGCTTCTAGACATGCTAGTTTTTATGAATAGTCAAGATCTCATAAGTTGATAGAGATTCGAGAATAATGTAATTTAAAGTGGGAATGAAACCAAGTTAGTCTATAGATTACATTGGCTCTCGTAATTCGATTTGAGTGACGATGGTTCTACAGCGAGAAAAAAGCGCTAGTGATAAGAGCGGTTTCAAATAGAACGAAGAGGTTGGATTACATTTTATAGTGATTGTATGTTTTTAGGCCCACTGCATAAATTGTGGAGGGGCCAGAACCCCGCCATTAGTAATAACAATAGCCATAGGCCCACCCCCAGAAGAAGCTGTGATGAGATACGGAAATATCCGCTCTTCTTCTTGGCTGAGGATTATTGAGACTTCCTCCTTACCCTCTCTGAAGGGCCACTGGGAATATATATGGGTAAACATAATTTTCAAATCGAATGACAATAGCAGAGCTAACACTTCGAGAGGGAAACACCTCAATATAGAGGAAATCAATTGTCGGGAGTCGGTTGCTATTCGGCATGTCGTCGGGATAGCTGTTAGCCAGTTAGGCTAAGGATCCATTTGTTCAACGTCACCCACCAACAGTGACAAACAGTGACTAACTGGTACAGAACGACAATCCCTGTTATACTCTTACCAACCTCCAGAATCCAGAAGATCACTACAACATCAGTTTTCGTCGTAATCCTAGTTAATACGCCAGTTACCCCATATCGAGAATACGTGGTCAAATTTGCATAAATCAAATGCAAGAGTAAACGAGAAGGTCGCATTGAATAGTGGGTAATGATGAACTGTTGAGTAAGTAGCATATACGGAGTAAAGGTTCGGCTCTGATCGATGTATCCCGCGGCAGCTTCGCTTGCACTACGAGCCATGCAGTCAATGAAGAGATCTTTGGGTTCAATAAATGCGTGCTTGGAGCTCGTCATTGATACAAGCTTCAATAAGTGCACCGACGTTTGATTCGCGCATTTTTCTGAGTGCAAAGCAATATCGGACAAGATTATAGGTACGAGTAGAAAGTCCGCACTATATCTGGGATACCCTCTCGAAGAATTTGCAACGTAAAGTGGTTTACGCGAGTAGCGCGATCAAGTGAGGCGTGAAGGCGAATAAACCAACATCTATGATCTATTTTGATTTGCCGATTTTGAACCATATGCAACTGTTTCCAAAGCATTGGGAATTTTGGTTTAGTTCTTCCAGATTGAGACGAACAGCTCGCTTGGGGTGGGGGCGTCCGCAAATCAATTGATGTGATGGTCAGAGCGGCGGAGTTGTAAATCTCCGCCTTTTCCACCAAAAAAATGACGCAAACTCGATTTTGGAAGGAGAAGTGAGAAAATTGGGTCAACAACAAGCAATTCACGCATGACAAAGGTTCTGGTTTACGAGGAAATTTCCTTGTTCGTTATTACTGGGACCGTAGTTATGCGGCTAGAAAAATAAGAAATTTTTGGCAGGTCTAGCGACCGTCGCTTGTGGAGCAAATCACTTCGGCTTTGCTTGTACCATCGAGTATTTTGGAGATGATATTCTCAACTTGGTAGTTGGCTAGAGCCTCAGACCTTAGAATTCTTTATTATTCATTGCTTTTGGTATCTAACACTCTGTAGCTATGATACCGAAAATTACCCCCTTGGTTGCTGGCGATTTTATGATTAGCCGAAACAGGAGTTTATTTCTCAAGGGTCGAACATATAACTGCGGAGAAAGTCACTTCCCAAACACGAGACCCCATAGAATTCACAGGACCCGGTCTAATAAATCTGGAGACGGCTATGGAGACCCCACAAGATAATGTGCTCCCCGGATTTGTTGTTCGGAGAATCGTTGCTTCCCAGGAATAAAAGGATCTTGTCTTGGCCTTCTTGTTTCGTTTGAACTCTTAAGCTTCTCTCTCATTCAGATCTTACTACTTGTCTTGGCCATCTCGTTTTACCCGTCATGTCTCCTCAAAATTCTTACATGGGACTGCGCGGCAGAGCCCTGAGAATTGCTCAGATTGCTTTTATCGTCGGACCAGGCTTCACATTGTTTGGTTACAACCAAGCTGGTCTTGGACCCTTAGCGACACTTCATAGTTGGGCACATCAATTCCCATCACTGGACACAGTCAACACGACCGGTCCACTCAAATCACACAACTCAATCAACAGCGGTGCTGTCATTGCGTCTTTTCAAATTGGATCTTTGATGGGTGCCTTATCATGCATATTCTTAGGAGATCTTCTAGGTAGACGGAGGACTATCTTTCTCGCTGCTTTTTTGACTCTCATTGGCCAAGTTCTCCAAGTCTCGGCTTATAACTTAATTCAATTCGTTATCGGCCGATTGGTTTTAGGCTTGGGAGTTGGAGAGATTAGTGTTATGATACCGGTTTGGCTAGCCGAATGTTCACCCGCAGCTCACAGAGGGCAAGACGTTGTCACCGCAGGTATATTCTTGTGTTTCGGCTACTCTGTGTGTAACTGGATAGATTTCGCATTTTACCACCTTCCAAGCACGAATTTACAGTGGAGATTACCTTTAGCAATCATATCTCTACCACTTTCACTCGTTATGATGGCCATAGTCTTTCTTCTTCCCGAATCTCCTAGATGGTTAGTTAGTGTAGGGAAAACAGCCGAGGCTACTAAGAATCTATCAGTGATCAAAGATCTCTCAGTTGAAGATGATCGCATTCGCTTCGAAATTGCCCAGATCGAGTCATCGCTTGAATTTACGACGGAAAATAGTACATCACTCTTGCAGCTTTTCTCCAAGGACGACAAGGAGAGGTTGCTTTACCGATTCGTGCTATGCATATTCCTACAATTCGTTCAGCAGATGTGTGGAGGTAATCTCATTTCGGTCTACGCATCAACCATCTTCCAGCAAAATCTCAACTTGGAAGTCAGCTTGGCCAAGATCCTCGCCGCTTGTGCCCTTACCTGGAAATTCCTTTGTTGCTTCATCGCTTTCGTCGCCATTGATCGATGGGGACGTCGTGCGGTATTCATCATTAGTGGCGCCGGCATGTCAATGTGTATGCTCTCCTTGGCTGTGAGCACTAGTTTCCCCTCCTCAAACAAGAGCGCCGCTATTGCTTCTGCATTCTTCATCTTCCTATTCAACTTCTTCTATCCGATCGGATTCCTGGGTGCCAATTTCCTATATTGCAGCGAGATTGCTCCAGTCCGACTTCGCGTGGCAATGAATTCAGTCTCAACTGCCAATCATTGGTTATGGAACTTCGTTGTGGTTATGGTAACACCGGTCGCCCTCGATACCATCGGATATCGCTACTATATCATGTATACGATTATCTCGGCGCTTATTCCCATCTCGGTGTATTTCTTCTACCCGGAGACGATGAATCAGAATTTAGAAACTCTCAATAATTTGTTCAGAGATGCACCTTCGACCCTCAAGGTTGTATCATTATCACTTAAGCTGCCACGTGGTGAATTGGATGAAGAACCATCGGGTAAGGCAGAGTATGGTGGAGGGGTGGAGCAAGTTGAAAAGGTATAATTTTGATGAGTTTACAAATTGTATAGTAGTGAATTTTAACCTTAAACTCAATTCTAATATTGCTATCAAGTTACCGACCTGATTCGATTGGTTCAATCTTCGTCTACTTGCTAGGGGGTTCAACGTTCAAACCTAGCTACGCTTCCCCTCTTTAAACCTTTAAATCCCAAGACTTTACCCTCCTAAAAAACCATGATTTTTCTGTGATTTTTCGTGTTGAACAGGCATAGTATCTTAAAACCAATGATATGATCTACCCCGTTTCCACCGTCTTCCACTTTAATAACCCTCATTGGAGCTATCAAGCACCAAATTCATATTCACTCTACCGATACCTCACTTATCAGACATTCACTTCACTCATTTCCATGCTATAACATCCACCGAATCTCCATCCATGGCACTCTCTACACAAAGGACTACAACTGCCATCAAAGATCGGTAAGAGGTTGGCCAATTCGGATCCTGGATTTAAAATCTGCACTCAAACCTTTCCAATCATCTCCTCTGATCTTACAAGTCCTCAAGCCATCTCTCGACGCCATTACCGACATGCAATATCATACCACTGTCATTAATTCTCATCACCCATCACCATCATCCACAATTTCCTCTATCATTTAATTCCCAATTATCAGTAGGTATCAGATCCGCAAAATCTCACCCCCAAATCCATATTACCATCTCCCCTCTACCAAAAAAGTAACCAGTTACACACCCCCAATCCCCAAAGTCTTTCTTCCAATCTTGAGAACCACCCTGAATTCTTCCACTTTTGTAAGCAAGTATTCATAATACCCAATTCTCACAGCCCAGCAATCGTTTATATAATTAGAAGTTCCAAATCAAGAGTTAAGCTCTCCGCTTATTCCTCTCCTTTCCTTAATTCACTAAAAGCTTCAATTTATTGACCTCGATTTCTGCACTTTTCCTCATTTTGTAAACCTTTCACATTTCCTCTTATGTAAAGACTTCTTCTTATATGAAATATACTCAGATTCACATCAAGCTAACTGTACAACAAAGCAAAGGAGATCCATCACACTGAATTTACAGAATCTGTCTTTTCTTCGACTAGTGTTTTAATTATCCTATTCGTAACCTCATTTTGTTCTCACATTTTTGATTGTCACTGTCTATCATCATTATCTTCCCTCCTTATTTTCGCTACTTCTCTCTTACTCATCTGATCTAGTTCCTATCATCGATTTTCAAAACAGATTTTTGTCATCACCTACATCTACCGCTCACTCCCTATCTCAGCACTCATAACCAAAGCCCTCATTCTTTCTCTTCCCCCTTTCTTTTCCTTTCCTTTCCTTTCCTTTCCTTTCCTTTCCTTTCCTTTCCTTTCCTTTCCTTTCCTTTCCTTTCCTTTCCCTCCCGCTTTCCCCGAACATCAAATCCCACACACATTCTCCGTCTTACTCATCCGCCGTAGCTTTGCATATATTTCTTTTCCGTCTTTTCCGCAAACCCCCCATCTCATTGCTTATATACACCACACATCCAACAAAGTCCCACTTATCTCCCTTTCCCCTTCTCCTTTCCCATCTCATTTTCATTCACTTAATCTCCCAAGCTCTCTATACAATCCCAAACCAACCCTGGAATCTCAAGTTCCGGAGTCTCCTCTCCTCTCCACCTTTCCACACAATCACTTTGTCCCCGCCTCCCCTCCCCTCTTCTCTGACACTCTATCACTAACCCCCCTCCTCCCCTCCTACACTCATCCTCACTCACTCTATCACTAACCCCCCTCCTCCCCTCCTACACTCATCCTCACTCACTCACTCACAACCTCCACCATCATCATCAAAAATAATCACCACAAACAATGCATTTATATTCACTCAGATTCAAATCAACACAGTGACAATATTTATATCCATATTTATATTTATATTTAGTTTTAGTTTTATATGCATAGATAATTCAATATCTAAACCCAAACCCAATCCCTCTCGAATTTCCCAAGAAGAAGAATCCCATTAAATGCTCCCCTCCAAATCTCCAAAATCAGATACCCAATATTCCCGCTATGTATATTTATGTGATGACATAATAGGATACGCTCATTAAACCCAATCCCAAAAATGCTCCGTTTATCCATGCATGCTTGCTCGTTCATATCTTCGTGTATAAAATTCCATCCATCTCATTCAACTCACCACCACCATCCAAACTATCACATCAAATCGCGACCTGATCCCAGCTCATCTCCTTCACATCAAACTTCCCCCCAAGCACCCATTCCCGCACCACCTCCTCCTCCTCCTACAACCACACTCCCCCTCGTACTGCTCCCTCCCAAACTCCCTCCAATATCCCAATAATGTCTCGAACTTCCACTTCCAATTCTCAAACTCTTAAGTGTTCCACCAATCGGTACCCCACCACTTCCCAATCCCATTCCTTTCCCCAATCCACCTAACCCTAGACCTACTCCACTCTCACTTGATCCTCTTCTTCCCACAACCCCTCTCTTTCTCACTCCTCCATTATTCGCTTTAAGGTTAACGAGCGGATGGTGAGCTCTCACTCTCGCCACTCTCGCTAACGAATCTGGTGTATTCTCCACAGCCAAGTTTTCTCTCGTACTTTTCGATAATACTGAACCAGAGCTCGAAGCAGTTGGAGCCGGTACATTATCGCTTCGACTAGTAAATCTACTTTTCAAGTAACGGAAGACCATTTTAATATCCAAATCTCTTTCCCATTCTTCCCTTGTGATAGGAGCACTATATGATTGTCTTGGTGTTGAATCCTCCAATTCTTCTGCTTTACTTTGGTTTGGGATCGATATCGGTTGAGGAATTGTAGGATGGAATTCTAGATCGTGATCAGTATTTAGAGTTGAGGCAAGATGTTCTTCTTGTTCTTGGTCTAGTTCCAGATCCGGTAGAGGAATACCCGCGGCCATATTTGAATTGCTGCTCGACGCTGATTCTGGGATGACGGGTAAACCTGCATAGGGAAGGGATGTCTGCTGAGATTGGAGATATGTTGTAAAAGCACCAGGATGATCTGAGAGTTGATTAACCAACAACCCCAATTCGCGAGCTACTCGTTCAAGGAGTCTATATTCCCATGAGCCCTTATCAGGTTGTGTGACCGCAGCGGGAATAGGTATGGCTCTTCCTGATGCCTTTGATAATTCCTCTTCTATCGGTAGAGATTCGCCAAAGATGATTGAAAGGAGATCATCATCGATACCCATTAGATCTCGTATAACCCTTCGAGTGAGTCTGTTCCATAAACTATCATTTTCGCGTGTAATCGTTGGGGCTGGTTCTGCTTCGACATTATTCAGTGTAGCCAAGTCCTCTTGTTCCTTATCTTCAACAGCCGTACTCCTCTTTTCGCTAGACATAGACTGTTTCCTCCTTCTAGTCTCCCGTTGTATCTCATCTACCAAAGCCCGACTCTGTTCCAGCCTCCAAATTTCAATCCTCCTTGTCCTTTCCATTTCTGCCGCTTTCTCACTCTCCAAAGCCATTTCTCCAATTTCCAAACTTTCTCTCCTCCTCTTAACTCTCCTCGGATTGTACTGCTCGAATGCATATAAATGTTGTTGAACATCCTCGCCAATCCCATCGACCCTAAAACTTCCAAGTCCATCGTGCTTCGGTAACACAGGACCCTCCTCATCTTCCCTATTGCCATAAACACTTGGATCCGTCCGAAACTCATGTAAATGACTATCCAAGGAATCCAATTCAGCATCCTCATTATCATCCTCTGTTTGCGCATCCACATCCCCATCCACGTCATGATCATCATAAATTCCATAACTCCTCGCCGCAGTTTCTAAACTTCCAAAATCACTAATTCTTGAATGACCAGCTGTGCGCGTTCCCCTCGTTCTCCCTGTACTAGCTGTATAGGTACCCTCTGTAAAACTTGGCGCAGCCGGTGAAAATAACACCCATTCTTGACTTGCTTCTAAACGCCCATTTGTCTCTTGTGCATTTTGTTGACTTCGCGTCTGCGAATTCGCATCTTGATTCGGTTGTGTAAATGTTCGAGGGGCATGATGTGTCGGTTGTCTAAATGCCATCTTTGGTATGTTGTACAGATGTAAATAAATACCAATAAGATGTTAGTCTAAAGTCTCTTTCGTGATCTCGTTCGTCGTATCTTGGTAATAGAATTGAAACAATCGCAGTAGGCTGCAATGATATCGAGGTGAGAATAGGGAATTAGTGAGACCGTTTGAATATTTCGTATTTAGTAGTATGACTTCGTCAATAGAGGGGTTCGAGTCTCGTATGATTTTGAACGAGAATAGAGTTGTACGACGACCAAAGAGTCTAGTGGATTAGATACTCTAGTTGGATAAGGCGACTTTATAGACTCAAGTCTTGACGTATGGGTTTGACGTATAAGAGTATCTAGAACCTCTCTCGGAACTCGACAGGCAAATTCCACAGGGCTCTTTGGATAATAAGGTTCTAGTTCTAGTACTCCCCCGCGTCTCTACCAGGCATGTCCTTTGATGAATCAAACTTAAACAGAATAGTAATCCAGGACCAATAAACAAAATATCAAAAACTTCATTCCTCAAGATATGGTACCAATAGATCAATAAATATCAATGTACGTACCCGACAATACGTACAAACGAGTCGTGTCTGCTAGTGCAAGATCAACGGTTAAACCCACTGGCGTGACTGAACTAAATGGATAAGTACAGCACGCATACACGTGGACGGGTGGATAAGACTTGTTTTTGGATAAGGAATGGCGGAAGAGGTGGGCTTCGGTGGGGTTTGGATATCAATGTCTCAGATCAAAGCGATGATAGAGGTGGTGGTAGAGGTGATCACTGACTGACAGATGAAAGGAAAAGGAATGAGTGGAATAATGGGATTATGGGATTACTTGAAAAGAAAGAAGAATGAATTTGTGATTGTCTACGATACTCGTGGATGGGATGGGAGAGGAAAGAAGAAAGAAAATGTTATTTAGTAGTATCATAGCATAACAGCATAATCAAA